AACGGTATTCGGTTCAGTTCAATTTTTTACCCAACCATTCGAATCGGTATTTTATCGAACCGTTCGGTATACAAGAATCCAATACCGTTCGGTTGTTCGGTTCGGTTCGATTTGAGAAAACTAAATCGAATTGCCCACCTCTAAAGTTAATTATCAAAATGGTCTCTTGACTATAGTAAAATTACCAATTTAGTCTCAAGTTAACGGTTGACTAACGGTCAAACAAACGGAAGATCAAATTGGTTAAAAAAATTTAAAATTGAGGGACTTAATTGGTTAAAAATATAGTCATGGACCAAATTGATAATTTTGCTATAGTCAAGGGACCATTTTGATAATTAACTCTATTTAATAAAAAGTCATCAATTATTTCATTAATTATTTTTGTCAATTATAATTTTAAAACAAATTTATTTTCAATGTATACTACCATTCTAAAATTTTTAAAATAAATAATCATACACTGTATAATTATTTTCAACCTAAGAGCTTATGACAATTGATAATTTTATTGTTGATACAATTGCAATATCAATTAAGAGTATCTACATCACTAGATACTAGATGTTGTATGCAAACAAACAACCAAAAAGAAAAAAAAAAGTTTATATACAAGTAATTTGATAGACTTATTCCCAAGAACACTACTCCATTCCAGGCCTATTACGTAAACCAAACATGATGATAATGATTATACACAAGTAATTTGATATCAGTAATATGTTGGTAGAAGTGTAAATACTTACATAACGTTCACTGAAATTGTTAAAAATATTAAAGTATTTCTCATATCAAAAGATCACGGGTTTTATTCTTACAAACACTCAATTGATTGAACACGTTGTATATGGTTCTTATAGTACAGGATTTAGCTATTGCGCCCCTTCAATAATGGTTGTGAATTTCCTTATCGTAAAAAATATATATTCAACCATATATCCATAGACAAAAATTAATAGCCTGACAATCAATAGTTGAGAATGTAATTGGCAAATTGCATTTTTTGACATTCATGAATTCTTCCATTAATGCCAAAAGTAAACATTTAAAGATGATAAATTTACAAGAAATAATAAAAATAAAGATTTTTTATTATTTCTTTTTTAAACTAGAGAAAGATAGTATTATTCAAAACAAAAAAATATTAAAAGAAGCATAAATAATGATAATAACTAAGTTCTAAAAGAGTTACATTTGCCGATTATCCCTATGAATTGATGTCCTCTCCTTCGTACGTGATCTTTAAAAAAATGTTTTTTTGAACCCTTTTTCTTTCACAGATCCTGGATAGGATTTGAACTTGCATTATGCGAGTTGTTATAAAAAGTAAGTGTCTTAACTTATTTTAAATTAATTGATCAATTAAATTATGTCGGAAAGTAATTCATACTATTTTTCTTATGATGCATGCTTTTCAAGTGATCCAACGCAAAAACAAGGACCAGGCCAATTCATTGGATAGTTATGCTGTGCATGGTGCATACGGTTGTAAAATGATGTCGTTTTGACTAAAAACGCGCGTCCCATTTAAAAAAAAAAAATCAGTTTCGATTCCCCTCAACAGCATTATGTTGTTTATTAATTGTGGATATTTAGTTCATTCATTGTGGATATTTAGTTCATTCATTCTGGATTTTGTGTTATTCATTCACTGTGAAAATATAGTTATGAATTTGTAGATATATAGTTATGAATTTGTGGATATATAGGTATGAATTTGTGGATATAATTCAAATTATACACACAAAAAAATGCTATTGCCGCGAATCGAACTTTTTTTGTTTTTTGTTTTTTGTTTTTTTTTTGTTTTTAAGTGGGACGCACGTTTTTAGTCAAAACGACGTCGTTTTTACAACCGTGTATGGTGCATACGGTTGCATAGCATAATTTGCGCAATTCATTGTTTAAATGTCTCATCACACTCAATTTACCTTCCAAAATCATTGATTGATTAACTATTCAATTGTGAACCATAATCCATAGTAAGGTAGACTATGGTTTAAAACGATATCGTTTCAAGGTACGTAGCATGATTAACAATCATTTGCACTGCACACTACAACCATGATGCATATATAGTATAATGTTTATGTACATTCAACTTTGTTTTTATGAACATATAGCAAAAGTATTATGAATCTACTACATAGAGATTTTTTTTTTTTTTTTTGGTATACCCAAGGTTTTCATCGTCGGACACAATGACTAATCCCCTCGCTGAATTGTAGGCCTTTTTGGGTGGTACATAGTGATATATATATATATATATATATATATATATATATATATATATATATAGGGAAGGGATCAAGTGCGGGTGGTGCTTCCCGTGCGGTTGTGAAGGTAGCACATTAAGCATTACAGTGGCGTACTTTAAAGTACAACACACACACATTAAACACACAAACAAAATACATTCAGAACCCAAACTCACGCACCTTAAGCACAAAACTCACGCACCTTAAGCACAAAAAACACACGCACAAGTTTTAACAACAACTCACATTAAGTACATACTCACGCACATTGAGTACAAAATGCACGCACCTTAAGCACAAGACTCACGCACCTTAAGCACAAAACTCGCGCACATTAAGCACAAAACTCATACACTTTAAAGTTTCAACAACAACTCACATTAAGTACACACTCACGCACATTAAGCACAAAATTCATGCACATTAGGCATAAGACTCACGCACCTTAAGACAAAACTCACGCACATTAAGTATTACACACTCACGCACATTAAGCACAAACCTCACGCACCTAAAGTACAATACTCACGCACATTAAGTACAAAACTCGCGCACATTAATCACCTGCACAATCGCACGGAAAACCTTCACCCAAGGCCTTTGCACAAATTGGGGCCCCATATAAAAAAAAAAGATAAAAAATTAGAGTATATATAGTGATCACTGATTAGTGCAGTTTTAGTTTCGAAATTAGAACCCTATTAATCTATTACCTAACGGAGTAACCGTAGTCCGTAGCTCGATCAACCCTCCAGTGCCTCCTCAACGCATTGACGCAACTGTGCAAGCGGTAAGCCTAATTAATTGGCGATTTGGAGTTTTCTTGCATCGAAGTGATTGAACAGCAGTATAGCAGCAGCACTACACCGTCTACAGTCTAGTAGTCTACATAGCCCCACAGGTTCAACTTTCAACTTTCAATATTATTTTGTTAATTTGTCATTTGTAGCTTGATCAACAATTCAACATTAGAATGGTTATATTTGTTGTACTTCAGTACTTGGTATCAATTTTTGGTTGATTTTAATATCAAGCTTTTATTATTTCTAAGAAGAATAAAATTGACACAAATCTCATTGGCAGCACGCAATTGACGCAAACAGCAAACAGCAAACGACAGACAGACTACGGCTTCTTCAATTCTCTTAACAGGTAATTAAAATTACATATTATTTCACAATTCTTGTTTATTATTTTATTTACATGACTTAATAATTCTGATTTTAGAATAATATATTCAAGAATATAATATGTTTCTTGATTAATTATTTATTCATAGAGTTTTTAAATAAATTCTTTTATTTCTTTAGGATTTTATAATTATGCCTTCTAGAAAGTATTAATCTGAATTTGAGAAGCATAAAAAGAAAAAAAGAATTTAGCAACTAACTCAGTCTCAAAAGAGTGCTTTTAAATTTACTGTGACAATGAAAATAATAAGAATGTTGATAGTTGTTTAGATGATGTTGGTCATAATGATAAACCAAATGATTTGCTTTTATTTGAGATATCCAAGAAATTGGGATGCCCTCTATTATAAATTAATAGATATTCTTGTGAAAGATAGGTCCTAAAAGAGATTTATCAATAAATAAAGGTCATAACGATAAATTCTCTAGAAGATTTTCGTCAGCATTTTACAATTGATTAGCTTTAACCATTGAAAATGAGATTTTGAAAGAAGTTGATATCAAAAGTTTGGTAGATGATTTTGCGTCTAAATGTGCACGACGCATGTCACTTTTTAAATGAAATTTTAAATGTATTTTTTATACAATTTGAATTTTTGACATAATATTTTGAACAACTATTATTTATATATAAAATTACTTTAAAGAGGGTCCAAATTAAAATATTGCACAGGACCCCAATATTTATTGGAACGGCCCTGCCTTCACCCGCACTGGAACTTAAACATACATACATATATATATATATATATATATATATATATATATATATTGTACTTAAAGTTTAGTGTTTATGTACATTATGATTTAGATTTATGATCATTTAAAATAAATATTATGAACATATATAGTAAATGATAGATGCTATTAAACATTATGCATTGGCTGGCGTCCTTAATGACTTAATATAAAATGATGCTCTTTTGAACCAAGGTCCACCATGAAATGTGGACCACAGAATAATTTGCGATAACACATGACTCAATATTTTATATAATAAAAATAATTATGTATTTGATAATTTAAATATTTGAATTTTAATATTCTTAATAAATAATAAAACTTAACACGTTAGAGTATATCATGTTAAGCGATTAACAAATCACGTGTCACATATTATGGTTTCCTAGTTTGATTCAGAGATTTGGACCTCTTGTCTTCCTCCTTGTAATATTTCTTCTCAATAATAATATTTGTTCCTTTGGTTTTCAAAAATAAATAATAAAACTTGCACATTTTTGAAAAATAAAAAATGGAAAATGGAAAACATTTTCATATATAACTAAATAGTCTTCAAAAGTTTGGGTGGATGTTACAATTTTGTGAAAACGATGTTAGAAATGACATTTTAGACAAAACACTTAATGGGTTTTCATCATAAACCCAATTACTCCGTAATTCTTACGTAGCGTTTAGTTTGCATAATAGACTGAAAAGGAATAGCATGAATATGCCTATTTTACTATTGGAGATCCATTACTTGTGAGGAAGATGACTTGGATTTTTTTAAAGCAACTTGCAGACTAAGGGGTGTGGTAAATAGTTGTTGGTCAATAGTTGTTAGTTGATTGAGTTACTAAGTTTGATTATTTGATAGTATTGGCTGATTGTAGAAATATGTTTGGTCAATTAGTTGTTAGGTGATAGCTCATTATATGAAAAATAACTTTATTAAAAAGTTAATCGAAAAAGTTGCTCGTCTTTTAGAGCAATAAACTGTTATAAAAACTAATTAACAAATACTTATATTAATTATTTATCAAACAATTAATAGTGGATAAACAAGTCAAAATTAATTGATAGGCTAACTATTTTACCAAACATGGCCTAAGTTGTCAATAACAATTTACTTCTTTTGTTTGTTGTGGATTTGTATTAACGGCCACATGTCCCATATACTTCACATGTATTTTTTTTTTTTTTTTTTTTGAAAGTTACTGGCTCTATTACATGTATTTTTCTTAATTCTAATACAATTTATCTTTCCTCAAGGAAAAAGAAAAAGTTTCACATGGCACAATACATCGTGTGTAAATAGTATTATCCACTTAATAACTATTTTTCTTTTATCTCTACGAAATGAAACCACCAATGCAATGATGATAGCCTTTTCGATCATTCGCATGGGCAGCTCAGTTCGTTACAGATGTGAAGTTTGAGAACAATGGTTCAGGATTGAGTCTCACCAATAATAGTGTAAGAGACTCTTTGTACGCAGCAGTAAGCAAAAGTCTAGTCTAATTTACATTCTCACAAATATTCTGTCGAGTCTTTAGTGAATAGTGATTCAATCTTTTGATAATAATGATAGATTTTTCAGTAGTACACATTTTGAAGTTTGCACCGAAAGGACACGGAAAAGCACGGCAGAGTCACCGATAATGGCCGAACGAGAGGCCAGGCGGCGGCCGCGTGCAGCGGAGGCGAATTGGGATTTGGACTTGAGAATATCTCATGACTCATGTAATATCCTCTCCTCCATGCAAAACCCCCCCATAAAGGTTTTGTTGGATTTGCTTTTTTGCGCGCTGTGTTGTCTTTTAGGCTTATCTTCTCCTCACAATCTCTAAAGTTGGACCAAAAAGCTAGAAAGCACTAATAGCCACTTTTGATCCTTCCTTCCCATTTGAGTAAGCCCTTATTACCAACCAATGTTGTGTTTGATTATTGTGCTTGAAATTTGACAACATTTTCGATCGCTCACTTGTTCTTTAGTGCACCCCAAAAGATAAATCTTAATAAAGATTTTGTTTAGTTTCACTTTTAACATGTGCTCTGCATATAGTGTAATGCGTTGAAAATTTCGGAGGTTAAACTTATCAAAATGATCCATCGATTATAATGATTTCACAATTTTGATTACCGACATCTAATTTATTGTAGTAGTTAGTAGGTATAATACAAAATTTGTTAGATGAACTACCACAAACAAGACACACCATCATTGGTCTCAAATTAAAACACCCACAAAATCCTCCTGAAAAAGTATGTCTAAAAGGAAGTAAATGACTATCAATCACAACTACGAGTGAACCCCGATCAATCAATCATGCAGGATGGAGGATTTCGCAAGAAACTTCGCATTTTTATTCAATTCTTTAAAGATGTGCACCGACTAGATGATTCATTGTTTACTCATCATATATATACTTGTACCGACTAGACGATTCATTATTTACTCACTTTGAGAGATTGCTCCCACATTGTGACTGGTGAGACTCGATTCCCTCACTTTTGTGATCAATTGAATTACACATGAAGGCAACTAAATTATGTACATAATCATACCGTTGGATGATATTTGGAGGCTCCTAATAGGGGCGGATCAAATAAATGGTAGTCCACATGGACATTTATACACATTATTGTTGGTAAATGATATTTTGACATTTTTATTTTTATTTTTTGATTAACTTTTATTGATTAATATATGTGTACATTTGGTAAATAATTTTTGAGATAAGTTTTTTGAATCCAAAAAGTTGAATTTGAGAGGTGTCTACAATTTAGGGATAACAACGGGACGGAGCGGGGACAGGGAATGGGGTCTCCGTCCCTGTCCCTGAAATGGCTCCCCATTTTTTGACCCGCCCCGTTTCTCGACGGGGATGGGAAATTATTCACTATCTCCATTCATGTAGGGATTTTTCTGGGACGGGGAATCCATCCCCGGCCCGCCCTTTTTTTTTGAATTATGCCAAGCATTTGCGTATGATTCCTGCAACCTATCTATTCCCCAATCTGCTTCTTCTGATTGTACATTACACCATAACATGCATGCATTTCACCACTAAGAAAAACCTTCATACATTCATTCATTCATGCTACCAATCTAAAGCCTTTATATGTTAATATAACACTATACTACAGTACACTAATTCTTGTGTTTAGACTTTAGAGTTCAGACATATCTTTATTTGCAGAATTGCAGTACGTAATTATGAAATCATATAAATTGATTGAGTTAATCAAAATACTTCAAAAATATAATTACTAATCAAAGCTAATTACTAAATACTTCAAAACTAATTAAACCTAATTACTAATTACTAAATAATAATAATAATATTATACAGGGAATCAGGGTTGGGGTCGGGGTGGGGAATGCCCTCCCCGTCCCCGGCGGGGATAGGGAAATTCTCCCATCTTCACCCCCGTTCCCCAAAAAAATTCCCCGAACCCGCCCCCGTCGGGGCAATGATCGATTTTCCCCGTTGGGGGCGGGTTGAATTGTCATTCCTACTACAATTCAGCGAGAGAATTAGTTATTGTGTTCGACGGTGAAAACCCTAGATATACTAAAAAAAAAAAGTTGAATTTGAACACTTTAATTTTTTTTTTTTTTAAATTAAGTTATTTTAACTCTCACTTCCCTTCTCAAATTGTATGATCTTTTTCACTCAATTTTTAAAATTTTTTATTTTAACTCACCTATTTTTATTTTATTTTAAATTTTAATGTGGTTTATGAAAAATAGTGAAAAATAATTTATTAAATGTTATTTAATTTTAATTTTTATTATTATAACAAATAATTTGAAAATGTTTTTATTCATATGCAATTATTAATAATTAATAATTAATAAATTATTATTATTATTATTATAAATAAATTTACGTCTTCAAAGTCACTTTTTTTTTTTTTTTTTTTTTTGTTATTAGTTAACAGTTGAATTTACTGCACATTTATCCTTGTTAATATTATCAGCTAGATCAAATCATCCACCAATAATATCTTGGAGCTAAAAATCTTTAAATTATGGTAAATTATTGTGTGAACCATAACAAAAAATATATTTTTAATATATTAAAAGTACATTATTTGTGTACTTACTTTTAGTAATCAAATAATGTATTTTTCCTGAATACAATGTACATTTTTAATATACTAAAAATATATTATCTGTATAATGAATATACATTATTTGATAGTATGACTCACACAATAATGATTGATAAATCCTTCGTATGCAAAGTCAAGATGAAGATTGACGGAGAGTTGTTTAGGTGACATGTAATTTATCACTTCTAACGTTTTTAGTAGGAGTTTTGAGGTTACAATAAGTTAACAGAGCTAGCAATGTAAATCTCATCATATATGGGCGACAGAGCTGACAATGTAAAAGAGACTCCTCTGAACTATGAGTTCAGCTCGATCTTGGGTATTTGACCAAATCATCAACAACATTAAAAGAAGCTTTAAGTTTTTTTCAACGAATTCAACTTCAAATTTCTGAAACAGTCAATGAATCAAATTTTTTATTGTATTACTAGAGAAGTTATTTCTATGCCTAATTATAAATAATATTTGATCGTTCCATCAATTTTCAATGTAAACAGCCTAAAAATGATTAATGAATTGATTTATTTATTTTCAAAAAAAAAAAGTTAACAGCCAACTACTTACTACTGTCCACTAATAATTAAATACCGCCGCAACATTAGCGGTTACTACCCGCTGCTCTCACAACAGTGCGAATTTGCTACGTCATCGCTGACGTGTGGCACAGGATCCCATTCCGTTACATTAGCCAGGATCACATGCGGATCATGTCTTACATATTTGTTGCAACTGCTTAGACTAAAGAAGAGTATGTATGTTAAACTATTTGTAGTTTTCCCATTTCTCAATCCTGTAAAAATAACATTGTTTTCTTTTTCTTCTATAAATACAATGATATTCAAATTAATTTTTTTAAAATGTAATTAAAATGTTGAGGGATTGTCACATGAACATATTAGTTTTAATATATAAACGGTGATTTATTGATCTATAATTAACACAAACTGAAAAACTAAATACACATTAACAACTCGTTTAGTACGAAGGAATTAAAATTCTTTTTCAACATAACTCACAAAATTGACAAATTTTTTTATTTTATTTTTTATGTATGATATGAGGGAATTAAAACTCCATTAAATTGCAACTCATTCGATCAATTTTATGAAATTATAAATTCACGTCCCCCATGATTTGTAATTTCATGAGGTGTGCAAAAAAAAAAAAAAAAAAAACTTAAAACTTTTAGACAAAAATATCTCTTCATATCTAACCGTACCTTAAATATTGAATAATAAGAACAAATTAAATATATATTATGATTAATGGTTTATAATAATAATAATAATAATAATAATAATAATAATAATAATAATAATAATAATAATAATAATATTATTATTATTATTATTATTATTATTATTATTATTATTATTATTATTATTATTATTATTATTATTACGCATAACCATTTTGGTATATATACTAATTTACTAGCGGTAAGCGAAACACCGGATAATAAAATTATGTGTTTGGTATTGCATAGTGTTCTCATTTCATTATTATATATGGTGCTACAATAATGTGTTAGTGTGATTCAATCTAATGAAATTCATACACCAAATAGGAAAACACTTTCTTCCTCTACCGAATTTCCCCTATACTATTCCTCTTCATAATGTGGCTTCTATTCATTGGATGATATGAATTGACTAACCTCACAACTAATTAAAAGAAAATAGTTACCAATTAGATAATGTCATGACGAAGAAAATATTGTAGGGGAACTAAAATGAGGGGTATGTAGCATTACTCTACTAAATATACAACAACTGAGTTGTTCTTTTCTTTTTATTGTTACTTTCATTTTTTTAATGCACTCACAGACGTTGCACGCTCTATTACATCCACATAAATTTATGCCGCATTCCCATTGTTACCTACATGTGCTTCCACATTGCCTCCACGGTGACTAACTTATGTATGCCTTCTTAGTGGTCAACTCTCACCATTTACCAAACAACCAGTTGTGAGCAACCATCCCCTTATAATAAATGCACGATCATTATTCTCAATTATGTATGATTGCCCTTCATTCGATCATATTTTGTGTTAGTGTGATTCAATGTAATGAATTCATACACCAAATAGGAAAACACTTTCTTCCTCTATTGAATTTCCCCTATACTATTCCCCTTTATAGTGTAGCTTCTATTCATTGGATGATATGAATTGACTAACCTCACAACTAATTAAAAAAAAATTAGTTACCAATTAGATAATGTCATGACGAAGAAAAGATTGGAGGGGAACTAAAATGAGGGGTATGTAGCATTACTCTACCAAATATACAACAACTGAGATGTTCTTTTCTTTTTACTGCTACTTTCATTTTTTTAATGCAATCACAAACGTTGCATGCTCTACTGCAACCACATAAAATTTATGCCACATTCCCATTGTTACCTACTATACATGTGCTTCCATATTGCCTCCACGGTGACTAACTAGCGTATGCCTTCTTAGCGACCAACTCTCACCATTTATCAAACAACCAGTTGTGAACAACCATCCCCTTATAATAAATGCACGATCATTATTCTCGATTATGTATGATTGCCCTTTATTCGATCATATTTTGACCCACTTTCACTAGGTCCCCTAGTCCAACATCCCTTATCAAATAATATTATGATCTATTCCAAACAAATATGGCTTCTATAGGGCTAACCTAGCCAACTTCATAGTTACTTTCATTTTTTATTATTATTTTTATTATTTTTATTTTTTTTTTTTTGTACCCACGTTGCACTTTCTTCTACATCTACGTAAATTTTATGCCACATTGCCACCGCCTTACGCATTCACTCTCAGCGCTCAACTCTCACCATTAACCAAATTTTATTATTACTCCGTATTTTTTTTGTAATGCACTTGCCCACGTTGCACTTTCTGCTGTATCCACGTAAATTTTTATGCCACATTGCCACCGATGCCCACATGTTCTTCCATGTTGCCTCTACAATGACTAATAACTTACGCTTCCACAGTGACTAATAACTTATGCATTCACTCTCAGCACCCAACTCTCACCATTAACCAAATTTTATTATTATATTATTACTCCGTATTTTTTTTTTGTAATGCACTTTTTTATGCCACATTGCCACCGATGCTCACATGTTCTTCCACGTTGCCTCTACAATGACTAATAACTTACGCATTAACCAAACAACCCGCACACGCAAACATCCCTTACGCATGCACCATCAGCGCCCAACTCTCACCATTAACCCGCCCAACTCTCACCATTAACCAAACAACCAGCACACGCAACCATCCCTTACGCATGCACCGTCAGCGCCCAACTCTCACCAAACAACCAACGCACAACTAGCGCACGCAACCATCCCTTGCACCGTTAGCGCCCAACTCCCACCATTAACCAAACAACCAGCGCACGCAACCATCCCTAACAACCAGCACACGCAACCATCCCTTACGCATACACCGTCAGCGCCCAACTCTCACCAAACAACCAACGCACAACTAGCGCACGCAACCATCCCTTGCACCGTTAGCGCCCAACTCTCACCATTAATCAAACAACCAACGCACGCAACCATCCCTTTATAATAAATGCACGACCACCCTTTATTGGCAAATTGCGATATGGATCATGATCCACATTGTAATATCCATCCCTTATGCATGCACTGTTAGCGCCCAACTCTCACCATTAACCAAACAACCAACGCACGCAACTCTCACCAAACAACCAACGCACAACTAGCGCATGCAACCATCCCTTGCACCGTTAGCGCCCAACTCTCACCATTAATCAAACAACTAACGCACACAACCATCCCTTTATAATAAATGCACGACCACCCTTTATTGGGAAATTGTGATATGGATCATGATCCACATTGTAATATCCATCCCTTATGCATGCACTGTTAGCGCCCAACTCTCACCATTAACCAAACAACCAGCAACCATCACTTCTCTCACCATTAACCAAACAACCAGCAACCATCCCTTTATAATAAATGCACGACCACCCTTTATTGGCAAATTGCAATATGGATCATGATCCACATTGTAATATAAATTATTGATAAATATTTTTAATATATTGAAGGTTAATATTGTAATATAAATTATTGATAAATATTTTTAATATATTGAAGGTTAATTGTTTTTTTTTTGCTACTAACTCTATTAGAGTGTAATATCTGTTCACTGAGATTCAATCTCATGACCTCCCATATAAGAGAGGTTACTACATGCCATACGAGCACAAGGTGCTTGACGAAGGTTAATCGTTAATGTACTAGAGGTTTATTTTTAGACAGTATACTAAAAATGAATCTTAAAAAAATAGCACTCAATATATTAAATATGAATATGTATGTCAGTGGTTCTACTTGCAACGTAAACAATGATTCACATTATATAATGGTTGTATTGCATTCCACTCGACATTATATTGTAGAGTGTGCACTGGGTAAATTTTGTCATGTGACTCTTGCCCATAGCTAACCGACTTAAATAAATAATAATAATAAAAAAAAACTAATAGACTACTTCCACCGAAAAATAAATTTGAAATTTTGTGATTATCAAACTTTAACTAACTAACCAACTTGATTGGATTGTACCCAGCAAAAACTAATGTTTATACTACATAAAACCTAGGAGTACACAATGGTCACAACGATTATCCTGCACCCCTTGTTAAAACTAATTTTACATATGTGGAATTAATTATGTTTTCAATCATATTTAATTATAAACTAATAATTCATGTATATTTAATTAGTATTTAAACTTCTTTTAAATATTAAAAATTGTCAATTACAATATATTGTAAGACTAAATGGGTCTTGTTTGATTTTGATACACAAGTAACACAACTTTTTACTAAGACAAATGCAGTACAAGTCATTTTTTAATTATAAGAGCAAGATTATCAAAACGTGTAAACTAAAGAAGTTCTCAAAAAGTGGATGAATAAATGAATTATGATTCTTATATTTGAAAGTATAAGTTTGATTTATTTTATTTTTTGTATTATAATATAGTATCTGTTCATATATATATTTTTTAATCTATGAAACACAAAGAGTCAATAGATACCAGTGTTGTAAAAATCGCGCCTAGACGGTCCCCCGGCGCTTAAAGGACACCTAGTGATTTTATCAACACTAATAGATACATAAATGTTCAAATTTGTGACCTGTAACTTTTCAATTGGAAAAATAATAATTATATCGTTTCATCATAAATTTTTTGACAAAATACACACATTTAATAATATAAAAAAGTGGTTACAAATTTTTCTCGTAATCCCAAAACGAGTAAAGGATTAGGACCGAACAGTAGAGAAATCTGAATAAAACTCCGCAAAGTCTCCGCAAGTCAATACTCGAATAAAGACAAGGAGTTGAGTGTTGACTGTTGAGAGGAACAGCGGTAGACGCAAGGGACACATAAGAAGAACCGTGGACGTGCACGTGGGGGATCGACGGTGAGCGGTGAGCGGTGACTCGAGTCCCCGTTAACGTGCGCCTCTGCTGCACTCTTTTAATCCCTCCAGCATTTTTTGTTCTCCACATTTTCTCTCCTACACGGCTCTCACTCTCCCCCATCTCTCTCGCGACGCAGAGCTGCCGGCGCCCAAACAAACCCTAGCGACTAGCGTCCGCCGATCAACCGCCGGCGCATTCGATGCTAGCCTTCGCACATAGCCTATCGTGTTGACGGTAATTCTCTTTTCTTCTGCTCCGTTTCTGTTGTTTGGATGTTCACTGTGCTCTGGATTATCTTCTACTCTTCTAGGCTCTCCGCTTTTGTGTAATTTCTTGTCTGGCTGCTGCGGAAGTGCTCGGATTATATTCACTCCACTTCTTTCTGTGTTGTCTATGTGTCGTGTTTCTGTTTCCTTGGCTGTGAAACGGGAGAATTACATGAAAATCAACTTAATTCGTGGTGTTTATGATATAAAACTGATTTGATAATCATTCAATGGAATGATGCAGATGATTTTTTTAAAAAATTCGTTGGTTTTTCTGGCTCTTTGGCTTGAATAATTATCTGTTTGAATAATCCGTGGTGCTATTAAATTTAATACAAGAAGTCTGGGAGTGTCCCGCCAATTTGCATGAGTTTTGATAACCTGGAGAAGTTTTCACTTGATCCAAGGTGTTCATTTATGTATATGTTTACAGAAAAATCCCGATCCGACTTTTATTTGCTTATTCACACTTAGTTTGGTTCCGGAAAGTGATCTATTGTTTAGCACATAAGCAAAGAAACTTAATAAGCAGTTAAGTGGCTTTATCACTTTTTCCTAGTTAGCTGACAAGTTTTTCTTTGGTTAATATGTAATTTATCTTATCTTAGCTAGCTGATTGTATTACTTACTAGTATCCTGAAATTATTACTGATGTGCTTCCGTGAATTTTGGTGGGTTGCATAGCTGCTTTTTGAGTGTTTTCATGTCGTTACTGATTAGCGAGAAGTGAGAACTCTATTCTTACCTAAATAGACTTATAGACATGATTGTGTTGTCCTTTTCTTATTCTTCCGTAACTATGTAAACCAGCCCATATGTTAATTGATGGATATATAATTGTTTTTAGCTCCATGCTTAGTGTATTTTTATGTCTGAAATGTAAAAGAAGTACACTTATAAAAATTTAGGATTTTTGCATAATTATGGACCTTATTGTGTTGGCTGAGCTCCATTATTGTTTTGTGACAAGAGCTGTGCAGTAACTTTATTTGCTATTACAGGATGGCCGGGTGCCAGTTTTTGCTTGGAAAGGAAATTTGCTCTCAAATGATCCATCCATGCAGCTTGTGATTTGATTCAGTTAAATTTTAATCTCTAAGAATGGATCGGTGTGACACATCAGGCTTTGTTAGCGGAGGCAGTCACTGTTCATTTTGAGTCCTTGAATGTATATACTCTAGATCAGGTTCTTTTTTTTAGCTAACCTCAGAAAACTGACAAGCTGTCTTCTTACAAGTGTGAGTTGTCTTGGTGAATTACTGTCAGAGTTTCTAGTACATGGACAATACCCATTTGCATTATACTGCTGCCTTTGCTTCCAAATCAAAGAAGTTCCCTAGCCTTGATGCTGGTGTTAGTTATTCTGGGATGGCTCCCCTTAAGGTTCATGCAGCCCCTCTGTCAAGTCCCTACCCTGGAAGTGGAGGCAAGAGAAAATGTGGTGACTTTGATGGTTGCACGAAAGACATGTCGCTGAGTCTGGGGTTGGGCCACTCATCAAGTTCTTGCACTACTCTATTATCGGGGAAGGATGTGGAACAGGAGTCATCTGTCAGTCTTGGTCTGAGCATTGACCTTAATTTGGGTAACAGTATGGCTCCAAATACAAGAAATGCTTCTACAGAGATTCCCAAGGAACCGGAGGACAAAAGACACACACTGGACCTTGAATTGAGCCTTTCAACTGGACTAGCTGAATCAGATACAACCACTGTCACGCAATTCTCCAGTGCTCATCAGAATAGCTTGGATTTACCAGTCATAACTGCAGTGCAACTTGTGGATGAAGGATCAACATCATCTAGATGGAAGTCTGGACCTCTTGTGCCTCCCTTGCTCACTATGGAGATAAGCCCACCCTTAGATAAACTTCATAGTCTTCCTGTTACCCCAAGCATCCCAATAGCAGCAGTAACCTTGCCAAAATGTTCAACTGGCTGTACTTCTGGGCCTGAAGCCCCATCACGGAGACGTAATGTGAGCGTGAGAACTTGCCAAATTGAAGGATGTACCAGGGGAGCGAGAGGTGCATCTGGACTTTGCATTGCTCATGGAGGTGGCAGGAGGTGCCAGAAAGCGGGCTGTCAGAAAGGAGCTGAAGGCAAGACAGCATTCTGCAAGGCTCATGGTGGAGGTAGGCGCTGCCAATCTCTTGGTTGCACCAAGAGTGCTGAAGGTCGTACAGAGTTTTGCATCGGTCATGGTGGTGGTAGGCGGTGCAGTCACGAAGGCTGCACTAGAGCTGCGAGAGGGAAGTCTGGCTTGTGCATTCGGCACGGTGGTGGCAAAAGGTGCAATATGGAGAATTGCACCAAGAGTGCTGAAGGAATCTCTGGACTCTGCATCTCACATGGTGGTGGCCGCCGTTGCCAGTACCCTTCATGTACAAAAGGAGCTCAAGGGAGCACAAATTTCTGCAAAGCTCATGGTGGTGGAAAGAGATGCACATTCCTGGGGTGCAGAAAGGGCGCTGAAGGTAGCACTGCATTTTGTAAAGGGCATGGCGGTGGTAAAAGGTGTACTCATGAGGGATGCACAAAAAGTGTGCATGGAGGTACTTTATTTTGTGTTGGTCATGGTGGTGGAAAGAGATGTGCAATGGCTGGATGCTCTAAGAGTGCAAGGGGTCGTACAAACTTCTGTGTTCGCCATGGCGGTGGTAGAAGGTGCAAATTTGAAGGATGTACCAAGAGTGCACAAGGCAGTACTGATTTCTGCAAGGCACATGGCGGAGGCAAGCGTTGCTGTTGGGGACAGTTGGGATCGGAGTTTGGTGATCAAGCAACTGCTCCGTGTGATAAATTTGCAAGAGGAAAATCAGGCCTCTGTGCTGCCCATAATGCAGAGGTGATAGACAAGCAAATACAAAGCAGTGCTCCAGTTACCCCAGCACTTCAAGTGCCACAATCCTTCACATTCGGATTTGCTGCTACTGGCTTGGCAACCCATCCACATGGATTGACTAATGCTGCGACTCCACCTGGCTTGGCAACCCATCCACATGGATTGACTAATGCTGTGACTCCACCTGGCTTGGCAACCCATCCACATGGATTGACTAATGCGGCGACTCCACCGCAAGTTAACTTCCTAACTCATAATGCTCCAGTGACGCAATTTTCACTACCAGAAGGCAGAGTTCATGGGGGTGGCTTAATGGCAATGCTTATGGGAGGTAACGCTGCTGGAACTAGCAACGCCAATCAAGTGGGTAATGCCCCATCAGAGCCTGGAAAAGATCATCCTATCCCTCATAGCTGGGTGTAAGTATTAAGTGTATAACATCATCTTGCTGTTAATAAGGTTAGACCTGGTTGATAGCTGTTTTTACTTTTTAGCATTAAGTTATTATATATGTATTTTTAAATTTAGGACTGGGTCATTACTGTTACTGTTTCTTCATTGCATTTGATAGGATAGCCAAGGGTCAAGTTGGAGTCTTATGTGCCATCATGTTGTATATATTTGTATTATATTGGTCAAAGTCCTGTGAATTTGATTTCTTTATATATAGTTGCAACATTACCCAATCATTTCTATCACAACGAACACTTGTCTCTGCATTTGCCCTGCATTATCTAGGTGACATTGTGGAATAACTGCATGTAGCATTAGAAGAAGGCAGGCTAGTGATGGTGAAGGAGCTTAACTGGTTGATCTCCCTCTTCATTGTTTTGTAAACATGATCTAGCCCTTCTTCAATCAATTCCAACACTGTCTGTGGCATTGGCGGTGTGTTTATGTCCACCGATCCATCCAACATTTTCACCACTTCTCCCATTGAAGGCCTCGATCCCACATCGTCCTGTATGCACCAAAACGCCACCATCAATGCTCTTGTCAGCTCTTCTTCTTCCACCGTCCCTTGTAGTCGTCTATCTGCAACCCTTAATGGCGTCCCTTTTGTCAACTCCTGATAAGAATTCACAAAATAAATAGTCAAATCTCAGCATTAGGAGTTATTGTCACTTTTGGTACCACTAGTTTGGTGGCATTCCAGGAAACATGAGTTTCTAAGAAGTACTACCTTGTACGCCCATCCTGGGAAAAAGAAGTCCTCGGCGTCAAAGTTCATGTCAAAATTTCTCCTCCCCCCAATGATTTCGAGAAGAAGCATCCCGTAGCTATAAACATCAGCTTTTACTGTAATGGGGCGATTGCTGATCCATTCCGGAGCCAGGTAACCTCTGGTTCCTCGGACCATAGTCACGACATGAGAGTGCTCCCTCCCCATGAGTTTAGCCAGCCCGAAATCCGACACTTTAGGACAGAAATTCTCGTCCAGGAGGATGTTTTCCGGCTTGATGTCGCAGTGTATTATTCTGTTCCTACATTGCTCGTGAAAGTAAGCAATCCCTTGTGCCGTCCCAAGCGCTACACCAAACCGAGTCGACCAATCTAACAGCTTATCTCTGTTAGTATATGAAGGAAAAATCCACTTGTCTAGCGACCCATTTTTCATGAACTCGTAAACCAAAAGCCTGCCAATACAAGTGAAATCTTTAGCCTATTTTACGATCTAAAATTGTATTGAAATTTCAAGAAAAAATTCATTCACCCACCTTCTTGTCCCTTCAGAGCAGTATCCACAAAGGCGAACCAGGTTGACGTGATGCATGGAACCAATGGTGTTCACCTCAGTTATGAATTCCTTCTCACCATGAGGCAAAACTTTATCAAGCTTCTTCACTGCAATCAATGTTCCATCTCCCAGGCTTCCCCTGAATACACTCCCAAAACCACCTGCCAACATAAAACCATAGCTTATAAATTAAAAGTTCCGTCTGGACAACATTAGCTAAGTTGATCAGACGGTTGATTTGGATTTGTTAAACATTAGCTAAGTTGGTCAGACTATTGATTTGTTAAATATTAGCTAAGTTGGTCAGACTGTTGATTTGTTAAACATAAGCTCCATCGTCTTACCTGTTCCAAGCAAATGAGAGAAATTGTTGGTCCTGCATTGCAAGTCGCGATAAGCGAAGTTTATGGGAGCTCCTGAGAGAATGGATGAGCTTTCCAGGGCCCTCTTCAATGATCTCTTCCGATGAATGTTGATGTACAGCAGACAACATAGGAGTCCAATGAGGAGAGTCATGCTCAACACAATTGGAAGCACTAAAACCTTGTCATGATTGCTCTTATCCGATGATTCCCCGGGTTTCCTCGTTTGGTTTCCTCCTGGGAATGAACCATTGCTCTCCACTTTCACAAACAGCGTTGCGCCAGGGTCTTCGAATCCACCAAATTCCAGGCTCCTGAGCAGCCAACAGTAAGGCTTCTCTTCGCTCAGCCCATTAACAGAAGCAATGCATTCACAATCTGACAAGCAGGCGTTCCCGCATTTGGTTAATGTCTCTTTGTCACTGTAATTCGCTATCACTGATGTCTCCGAGAAGTAGTAATTCGTCTGCTGGACTGTCGCGATTTTGAACTGATCCGTTAGGTTTTCGTGCCGGCGGTCGCATTTTCCGGTCAGGGAAGAGTTCCCGTAACACTGAACGTCGGTTCCGACCTCCGCATTGCTCCCCGGCAAGCATCTGCACGAAGCGTTCGTCTTGGTTCTGTCTAGAGTGCAAATTCCGTTGCCGCAAATTCCGCCGATATCGCAGGGATTCGAAACCGCCGCCCACTCTGGCACCCATTGGCTCGACCCGTTAACGTCGTTGTCCCATCTGTACAGCCTTAAATTCCCGTTAGTCTCGAGGATTAATCGCCGCAGAACGGATGGTCTAACGGATTGGTTGACGGCGGAGAATAATCCGCCGTTAACGTCGCCGTCGTTCTTGTGCACGTACACCGCTCCGTCCGAAGAGGAGCCGTACACGATCCCGAAGCTCCCCTTTTCATCCAAAACCGCAATCACATCCCCCGTCACGTTCGAAATATCCGGCACCGACCAATACGAATAATTCGAGTAAAATTCCGGCGAGGAATCGTAGGTTTCCGGGACATTGTAGGTCAACGCCAGGCTCAGAGAAGCGGGCTGCTGCAACATTTTCAGAGTATAGTATCCGCCGCGGGAAGGGGAAACGGAAGAGATGAGCTCCATGGAGACCGTTAATGGCTGCCCCGGTAGAAGCGTATCAGATGGATGCGAAAAGCTCTGCCAAGCAACGGTTCCCTTCGCGGCGAGTAGAACGAGGTTGCCTGTTTCTGACATGTCCGCCGTCTCGACCCCGGCGTTGGAGGTGTTTGAAGACCAGATGGTGGCGCCGCCGTCCACGAGGGTGAGGCTGCCGGCGTCGTCGAACTCCAAGATTGCATCTCTGCTGACTGGGGAGTTTCTATATTCAGATGATTGAGAGGAGAAAATGAATGGGGTTGACCAAATAGAGTTTATATACACCTGCAAAACCTTTAGTGAAGACTAGAGATGGAGGAAACCTTTTTACTAATTTCTTCCTTATAAGTCTAAAATGCCAATCATTCTCTCATACTATTTTCTATTGTCTACTTTATTGTATGGTTATAGTGATGAACTTTATGCATGAATTATTTTTATATGGAATAAGGGTCAAATATGCCACTGAACTGCACACCAAACTACAATTAGGCCATCGAACTCAAAAAAGATGCAATTAGGTCCCTGAACTACACAAATTTATGCAATTAGGTCTAAAATGACCTGTTTACCTAATTGCATAAATTTGTGTAATTCAGGGATCTAATTGCATCTTTTTTGAGTTCGATGACCTAATTGTAGTTTGGTGTGCAGTTCAGTGGCCTATTTGACCCTTATTCCAATAAAAAAAAGATCATTTTTAATTTCCATCTAAAAACCTACTTAAACTCTAGTTTTGTCGAGTTGGATTACTTATTTCCATGCCACCTTAATGTTTCTTATTTCCATGCTACCTATATATACACTTGATTTTAAAAGTAGATCGAGATAAAGTGGTACAAAAAAAGGATGGTTATACTCACATGTTAGGGGACCAGACCACCGTCCGGTCGCCGGGGAGCTGTGCGAACCAAATTGCGAGGTGAAACCGGTCACGCGAGGTCCCCGTCGGGGAGAACCCAAAAGCGAAAGTTCCATTGTCAGACAACCAAGCCTGCTCATCGTCTTTAGCTAACAATCTTGAGCCCGAGCTAATCCGGCTAGCAATAATGCAGGCACCAGACTGAGCCACAACGATGAAGATCAAAACCCAGTAATGGGGAAGAAAACGAGAATAAGCCATTGTATGTTGTGGTTAACCAGTGAACGAAGAAAATCAGGTTCAACTGGAAAGGGCGGGGGTTAAAGGGTTTATTTATTTGAAGAGAAGTTGGGCGGGGGTGAAGAGTTTCTTTTGGAAATGAATTTGGAGACTTTTTGTTGTTTTTGTGGGGCAGGGAGATGGGAGAGGACAACAGGTGTAGCAAGGTGGGTGAGCTACAACGTTGAAAAAACGCCGGAGGATTGAGTGGTCGGCCGATGGCGATGGGGTGATGTTGTGCCACGTGTTGCTCGGTTTCTTTGTCTGTGTTGCTTTCATATTAGCGCCCCACCGGAATTCCGGCCGGAATAAGTACAGTTGTCCCTACCGGAATCCTTGCCTAACTCCGTACACTTACGGATTCACATTTGCTACTAATGAAAACAGGCTGGTGGGGGGATTCAAACCATATTTGTTGGATAATTGGCACCACATACAAATCCAATTGTTAGCCTAGGTTAAACATTGGAATCGAAATAGTAATTGGAGGTAATAGTATTGCGATTAAGTAAATAAGTCACTTTGTTTGATAATAAATAAAAATTAAAATCAAAATAAATAAATAATTAAAATAAATATATATACATATACACACTGTATATATATTAAAATTTCATATTTAATGCATAGATAATAACCTTTTATTTTTATTCATTTTTTCTCCCTTAATTTTTATTCTATTGTTCAAAAGTAGATGAGTAAGGGTAATCAATTTTGTTATTATTAAAGAATTTGAATCCAATAGTAAGATAAAGTAGACAAACAAACATGATAATATATGAATATCAAACATAGTAAGGTGCAAAAGTCTCCAACCAATCACAACTTAAGGATCCCTCGTATTGCAACAACTTCACTCTTATACTAAATTATATAAAGAATATGGTCTATATGAAATGAATATTTAACCGACCTTTATTATTATTATATATATAATGTTTAAGAAGACAATTTGAAATGTGCAATCAATTTTTTCATCAAAGCATAACAAAGTCTAAGGATATATGGGTGGCTGGGCAAGTAAGCTAAGTTGGAATTTAGGCACTTGAAATAAAGCAACACCATTTGATGGGGACCATTATTTGAATTATTGATAGGGTTTTGGCGTCTCGTAAGAAAATGAAATCAGGTTTAATTTAAGCTGAGTTTTGACTTCACTGCACAAATATGTTTCCCTTTCACTTTTGACAGATAAGTATTGCTGAAAAAGTCATTCTATATCCAAATATAATTTAGACTGCACTTTTTGACCGGTTAAACTATTTCCTTTTTAAAATTCTCAATAACCCATAGGGGTACCAAACATGACAAAAACTTAAAACCTAAACCAGCCTTAATCAAATTAAATTTTATTATCTCGTTTATCTTAAAGTGTTAAGTATATAATATATAAAATTTAAATGCATATTTCGTCTATCAAGTTAAAAGTTTTAATTAGTTGAAACAAAGCATATCTTTAAATTTGAAGAAAGTGGTGAAGACCTCTTGTGCGCAGACGTATACATGTGACTGGAAGGAACTTTGTTAGGAACAAGTGTAATAGTTAGATTTTGATGATACTAAAAAAATTAAGAAGTTTAGGTCCCCAATTATGTTTTTTTTTTTTTTTTTTCATTTTATAGACTTAGGAATTTCTCATATAAACCCAAAAGTTCAACTTTAGAAATGAATTTTACTAACCGAAAAATTAATATACCGGAAAGTAAACTCAATTTAAAAGTAACCTTAGGATAGTTAAGCTTTGGGAGGTTAGTTGTGAATAGTAAATCCTAAAAGGTTAATCTTCGAGATACATAAAGCTGAAGCTCGAGAAGTATAAGACTTGAAGACCGAAAAGGTAAAGACTTGAAGATTCGAAAAATTGAAGACAGGAAGGTAAAATGACCGAAAAGTAAAAGGACATTGACCGAAAAGTAAGGGACCTGAAAGTAAAACTAACCAAATAGTTAGTTGCTTTCAGAAGGTTAAAAGGATCGACTTCTAGTAAAGTCAAATCCAACAAGTCGACGAGGTATGTCACGAAAAGTAACTCCAAAAAGTAAATGATTGTGTTTAGACATTCTCTAGTCCAATAATGATCAACCTCAAAATGCATGTTAAGTAAGAAGAATGCTATCAAGGTTCAAAAAATCCTAGGTACACATCTCAAGGAAGATATCCATAAATAGTCAAGACAAAAGGTGAAGTACAGAAATCAAGGCATCAGGTGCTAAAAGCAAAGCAACGGTTGAAGGGATACCTTTGGACAAAAAAAAAAAAAAAAAAACACTTTTAACAATAATATACTCACATAATCAAATTGTCCTAAGTTTGAATCTTGCTGCTGCCATCCCAATACGATGGTCCAGTAAAATAATTACAATAATATAAGTGCATAGTACAACTATATATGTATAACTTTACAATTACAATACTCTTCAGATTACAAGTACAATAGATGCAAATTTATCTAAGTCACTTCCAGGTCTCAAGAGACAACCCCTTGGGTATATTCCAAAATACCAATACAACCTGAAATCAGATGGGCTGGCTAATTGGCTATAATATATACTTGGTGATTGAGAAAACAGTTTATCAATAATCCTTTGTTTCTCCAGAGGATGTAGTGAAACAGCTATTAGAGTGTGTTGCAGTGTTGAGCACCAGGCACCTGAGGATTCATTCTAGTGTGTCTTTGCTGTTGATCACATGAAGATGGGGGCTTTTGATAAATTAAAAAAAAAAAAAAATTGTGTGATATAAATGATGGATATATTTTCCCTTCCAAAAAGAATTGCGGTGCCTTGATGCATATATCTGACAATCTAAAGGAAGTAAGACAGTTGCTCCTTCTTTCTTGAACCGCCTTCGCCATACAACTCGTTCCATTGCTTAAGCTCACCCATTATGGACCCTTCAGAAGCAAAACTAGCAGCAACCTGAAGTGAAAGAATATGCCAAGTTTCATATGTTCAAAACGAGCTTCTCTAAGGATTTCACGCTTGATTTTCGAGAAATAAATTTGTTAGATTTACCTGGTTCTTTGCTTGCTTCAGATCTTCCATGTTCAAAGGCCTCAGATTGATAACTTTCTCCTTTGTTGCTTCTTCTTTCTTATCTGAAGAAGCTTCTGAGCTCTGCACGTCTTCAGCTTTGCGCTTCTTGTCCTACCAATGCAGAAATTTTGGTGTTGAAAGCTTATACAATGCATTGATAGAAGATATATGAAAGGGGTAAAAAGTAAAAGAGTGCAAATACTACCATGGCCTTCAGTCTTTCCTGTTGTATTAGCTCTCTGACAGGACGATAAGCTGCTGTTACGCACAGATTCTGTTTTCAATAGCCAACACTATTAGTTGTTGCAGATGATAAGTAAGACAATTTCACTAATTATCCATTTTGACTATTTTTTAAGTGCAAACCTTAAGATCACTTCCAGTGTATCCTTCAGTCATTGTTCCAAGCTCCATGAAATCAATGTCTCCCACGTTTTCTTTTGCTAGAAGAGTTCTCAAAATCTTTTCTCTGCTCTCTGCTGAAGGTAGACCAACCATAATTCTGCTCACCAGAAAACAAAAGATAGTTCTAATCTTTACACAGCATCATCTTAAACCAAAAAGACCTTTTAAAGTTTTCCCAAGAGGAAAAGCCTCAGAAGCAAAAAGCAGAAGAAACACCACACTTCCTTTTGGCAATATGAATATACCTGCGCTCAAACCGTCTGATAATTGCTTCATCCAGGTCAAATGGTCTATTGGTTGCTGCAAGAACAAGAATGCGCTCACCAGATTTTGTCAGCAGTCCATCCCAATGTGTCATGAATTCATTCTTGATTTTCCGCATGGCTTCATGTTCTCCTACCCTTGTTCGCTGCCCAAGCATGCTATCAACCTCATCCACAAAAATGATTGTAGGAGAAACTTTGGCTGCAAGAGTGAACAAAGCTCGGACATTCTTTTCATCTTCACCGAACCATTTTGAAGTAATGGTTGACATTGAGACATTTATGAAGCTTGCTCCAGCTTCATTGGCAATTGCCTTCGCCAGCATAGTTTTTCCAGTACCAGGAGGACCAAAGAGCAATATGCCTCTGCAAGGCTTAAGAAGCCCACCATTGAAGAGGTCAGGTCTTCGAAGAGGAAGCATGACTAGCTCTTGAAGTGATTCCTTAATATCATCCAGAGAACCAACATCTTCAAATGTCACCCCAATATCATTTGGTGGTATAACCTCTGGCCTTATGCGTTTCTCAAACTCATTGTCTGGAGGAACTTCCTGAAGTCAAGACATGTTACCCAGACAGAAGGAAGAAATGAGTTCTCCATTAAATACTCAGCTTAAAGGAAATTCTCAGAGAGCCTGTTTATAGTAGACCAGACAAAAAGTTCAATAAATATTGGGCTCTGATCATTAATGATTTAATGAGCTGGACTTACTGGTGCCTTTGGTGCAGCTGTGTTTTCACCATCCTTTTTCACCAGTGGAACTGATGATTTTTCAGTTCCAGGTTTAGTATCAGGTACAGGGTTTTCAGACTTTGCTTCAGGCTTTGACCCAATAATGTCTCCCCCTACAGCCGGCTATAAGTGAACAACAAAAACAAGACTGGCTCAGCAAAAATACTAGCTCCTAGTTTTTCAGTGGAATGTCAAGATTAGAAAAAGAAAAACCACCTTGGAAGATTCAGAATTTGTTTCCAATTTGAGAGTGTCTCTGGAACCAGTTTTTTCCCCCTGGAAGATGCCTAATGCATGGGACAAACTTTCCCATGCCCAATATACAATAAATACAGGGAACAAAAGTATGGAGGAGTAAAAAATCTATAATGCTAAAATAATAGATATATTGGCATATACCTCTTGGATGAGATAATAAGCCTTCCATTTCGATATTCTGGATCCTTGTTATTCATCAAATGGTATGATATTGCAGACACTACAATTTCCTCTATGTAGTTGCTCAAAACCATTGTATCTGTTGGACAGATTGATCCTAGATCCTCACATTCAAGGTCATTTGCTGCAAGTACCTCAGCAATGTGATTTTTGTTGTCCATAAACTGGATCATCTTCATATCCTTTTCCAATTGGGCTTTCCAGCTTATAAGATGAGTCTCGTCTTCTGGAGGCCTAACCTCGATGTTGTAGGGAAATAATAGACTGAATCCCTCATCTACTTCACCAGTTTTATCATAAAGGTCTATAATCTGTGATCCTAGAACCAACATTGATCCTGATAATTTCTTTAGAAGTCTGTCAAAAAGTTTGTAAGCTCTTGGAGATTCAAGGTGTCTATCTACATCCCTAATGTAGAGGATGATGCACTTAGTTTCTGAGATAGAAACCAAAACCTGTAATTAACTTCTTCTTTGTCAACAATATTTTAGACATGTAACAGCACAATGTTTGTGAGCCAAAGAATAACAGTAACACAAATCTTGTGTTTAGACAAAAAATAAAATAAACTTTACCTTGTAAAGTGACTTTAAGAAATCTTTTTCGTCAAAAGACCATCCGATTGCGCGTTTTTGAGCTAATCAAATTAAAACAGGAGACAACACAGAAAAATGTTTCAATGATCGAATATGTACTCTTGTTCAGCTAAGTGGGAACATAAAAGCATGCTCAATTCTTATTTTGGTTCTTTCTTTTTCTAATGAAAATAATTAGAGGGGAATAAATTTAATACTCCGTAATTGATTATGACAATATGACAACTATAATACTATGGAAAAAAAAAAAAAACTAATCCGACCCCGATATTGAATTTCGACATGCAACTCTAAAACTGGCTAAATGTTTGCAGTACTGGTGTAAACTCAATAAAACCCCTCTGCCAAAAGTGGAGAAACTGGAAAATAATGTGGAACAAAACCATTCTAAGAACTGAAACGACAAAAACATTTTCAAGTTGGTAATGAATACAAAAATTCTACGATGAAGAAGTTGCTTTCTGAATTTTAAAAATACGTGAATGCAGTTAATAAAACTATCTGAACTCCATAATTATGCTACAGAACTGATGCCATTATGACACAAAATCATTTCAAGTTTTCAAGTTTTCAACTAGTAAATGTTCCTTGACATCCAACCTGGAGTTGAAATAGAGGATTGTGAGCTGAAGCTACTCATATCTGATGAGACAGAGGCATTTCTACGATGCCTTACAGGAGGGGTATTGCCATCGATCCTATGAAGCCCAGGTGCAAATGGTTAGAACTTATATCAACCACAATTACTTTGTTTGATCCATATGGGAACAAGCAATTACCTTAATTTATCGGCACTGCTTTGCCTTGACAATCTACCTGAATGGTGGTAATCAATCATGTTTTAGGGTGCAAAATAAGCAACATGAAGTCAAAATCCAGCAGTGGTAGTTTGAAATAAATAAATAAATAAAAGCTTTATCTACCTCTATTAGACTCTGTCGCTGGAGGAGTTGAGAAAGACCCAAGTAAACTGGACATGTGTTCCAGTGTCACCTCTGATATGGACCTCTTCAAAGACTACACAATCAATACACAGGTTAGGCATAATTCCACTATAAGCAGTGAAACTTTCTCTAAGCCGGAAAAGAAGAAATGTGTCCCTGAAAATAAAACTATGGTGATTAACATTTCCTCAAGCAAAGCAGTGCTTACAGTCTGTTTCTTGGTGCTGCCATACTTGCTCTGCATCTATAGATGATTAATCCATGAAAGAAAGAGGAAAATATATTAGTACAACAATATATAAACTATTGCTACTAGAAAGCAATTAACTTCAGAGAAAATCACCTTCAGTGAAAAGTCAGGTATATCCAATAGTAATAATTTTGCTTCAAAATGATGAGCAAGAGCCTTTGCAAGTGATTGGAGGTAAAGTTCTGCCAAATACAAGATAAATAAATTGGAAATAGACATACACAGAACAAAAATAAAATGTTCATGAAACTACAGGTTTTTATGCAGATTCATACCAGCAGGCCCAGAAAGCAATATAGCCCTACTAGATAGGGAGAGATTTCTTGTATGTCGAGACATATCCAAGTGGTTTAGATGAACATATGCTGCACTTGTCAATAACACTCGTGTTCGCTCACTGCCAAAACCATCAACATTAGAGTACAGTACAACTTGTCAAAGTAATAAAAAAAAATTGGGAAATTTTCACTTTTGAGTTTTAAGTACTACATGATCTCAATTAAAATCAAAAGGCTACGTGGTATTTGAAATCTGATCATCTTATGCCAGCAATTTTATTGCTTGCATCAAGAAATTTACTTACATTAGTATTTGTAAAATAAGGATGGAGGATAAGCATGAAGGCCAATACTGTAGTTATGGAAGATACTTAGATACATATTACACAGAACCCAAGGGGAAAAAAACAACAAAACAAAAAAAAAAAATTATTCTATTCAAAGGATTAAAAAAAAAAAAAAAACATCTCTGAAATTAAAAGAAGAGTTAAAGAGCACATTCGTGAAATTGTCTCATCAAAGAATTAAAAAAAAAAAAAAAAAAAAAAAAAGGAACAAATGTAGATTATTACAACAAACTCAAAAAATTCCAAAGCTCAAATGAAGCAACAAGGATATACAAGAGTGCCTTATAACAGAAACCACATGATTAGCAACAATAATATAATAGATTCTATAATTTCCATAATCGCTGCATATAATTAATCTGGTCTATTCAAAGGAAGGAACCTTATAACCTTTAATTCATCAAAATTGGTATCACCAAATAAACCATTAATAACTTCCACACAAATCATGAAATCACCATTACTATCACGAAATATTAACCATATGTAAAATTACCTGAGATAGTAAGGGAAGTCATCAAACGTGACCTTAGTGTCCTTGCCATCAACGACGAGTCGCCGGAGTTCCTGCTCGATTTGATCGGCGGTTAGGCCCTCCGCAGGAGAACTATTCCCGCCGGTCCATTTGTGGATGGCCTGTCCAGACGCCAATCCCAGCCCCACACCTACCCCCACGCCCAATGCCGACATGAACAAGCTCTTCTGCTCCATGATTATCAATCTGATCGAAACTCACACAAACATGGATATATATATATATGTTGCAAATGTGGAAGAATATAATATAGTATTATACAGAAGGAGAATGTGAATGTAGGGAAAAGGAGAAAGCTTGCGAGTTGGGTGATACGTAGATGAGAGCAGAGGGTGAGAGCGCGAAGTGCGTATGTCCGAATGAGAGACGTTAGCGCCATAACAACTTTGCGCCATTTTAGCTTTTCATTTTGTTGTTCTTCCATGCCCTTCAACAATTTAGCTTTAATTTTTTAATTATTTAAACAATATTTTTATATGAAATTTTTATTATTATTTTTTTTTTAAGGTTGCACACTTGCACACATTTAATGGGGTGTTTGATAAAGGAAAAAAGACTGAAATGTGAAGGTAGAGATATGTATTTCTCAAAATGTGAATGTCCATTTTTGTGGACAAAAATATAAAAAAGAGATTTGGGACATGCGTTTGAGAGAAGTGGTCAAATCACAAACTTAAGTAGGACTTGCGTTTGTGTTTTTTTTGTTTTCTTTTTTAAATTTGGTCGCCGGCGAAGCTGCCGGCGACACCCATCTCCAGCGAAGGAGAAGGCAACCAATGGCGGTGGCCTTCTCCTTCGTTGGAGAAACCGGCGACCCAAATCGTTGGCTTCTCCAACAGCTTCGCCGACGACCAAATTAAAAAAAAAAATAATAATAATAATAATAATAAAAATTAAAAAAAAAAAATAAAAACCACAAACTCAAGTCTTGCGTTTGTGGTTTGATCACTTTTAACATCAAACGCATGTCCCAAACTTCTTTTTTATATTTTTATCCACAAAAAATGGACATTCACATTTTAGAAAATACATGCCTCTATTTTCACATTTCAGTCTTTTTTCCGTTTGATAAATAGTTGTTACTGATATGTGATTGAATTAGTAGATTTGACTAGTTGATAGCATTAGTTATTGTTGAAAAATGTTTTGTAAAGTAGTTGATAGTTGATTACATGCAAAATCTCAAAAAGCTTATCGAAAAAGTTACTTTGAACAATTTTTTGAAAATAACATTTTAAAAAAATAAATTGTTACAAAAAACTAATTAATCAAACACTCATATTGATTGTTTAAGTAAGTCAAACAACTAATATTGATCGAATAAGCTAAAATTGGCTAATAAACTAATTATGTTACCAAACAGGTCATAGTCATTTTAATAATTAAATTATCGTAAATATAATCCTTAATTGGGTATCACAATAAAAAAAATAAATAATTAAATAAAACGCAATATACCAGGACTATGTGGTCCAATGGTATCCGGGTTGGACTTCCACTTGGAAAGTTGTGAGTTCGAGCCTCAGTGGAGGTGTTATTAGCTCTTTGTGTTTCAATAGGTTGAGAAAGTATATGAACAGATACTACAATGTAATAGAGCTAGTAGCATTCAAAAAAATAAAACGCAATATTGTCACAGAACTAAGAAACATCTCAAGAACACGAAATATACGGAGTATATAGAATACAAATTTTCCTTTATATTTTGATTATTGAAAAACTTTTTAAGTATAATTATATTATCGTTTTATCTCATTCATAAAATATATAATACAACTTCTCCAAAGATGCCACACAACTATGGCAAATTTTTTATTTTGAGTTTAATTCTATATATTTAAAAATAAAGAAAATTAATCAGGATAACCAGAGTCGTACTATATTCCTTTACAAAAATGAAAAATCATTGTAAGTTAACAAGTTGTCCCCAATTTTTGACCTCTAATAAGTTAAAGATCTTTTATATTTAATTATGATAATAAATAGAAATAAAGAATCAATTTATAATAGTCAATCAAAATAAATAAATAAATAAATAAATAAAGATTTTTAAAACAATGTCTCTTCGAATATTTTTCACAAACTAAACAAGTCTTTAAAAATCTTAGATAATTGAAGCATGTGATCTGAACTAAAAGTTTAAACTGATAGTTAGATTGCACATTTATATTATATATATATATATATTTTATGCTCAACAAGATTGCACATTTATATTTTATATATATATATTTTATGCTCAACAAGAATACTAGGACTATAAGTTACCCCTAACTACATGTGTTTAAGAACCCAGAATCCGAAGCCAATGCCCAGAAATGTAGCAATCGAAATCCCAAATATGCCAGCCAGAATGCCAGGAACAACCAAAGATGTCCATCCTTTCGTCGTCGCCATGCCGCATGCAGTGGTGGGGCCTCCAATGTTAGCATTCGACGCTAAAAGCAACAACTTCAACTCCACGCCAAACAGTTTCCCCAATCCCAGGATCACAAACAGATGCACACTCACTTGAACAAGACCAAACATGAAGATACTGGGCGCAGTGTTTACCACGTTCCAAATGCTCCCACTCGCCCCGACGACAGTGAAGAAAACCTGTTCGAGAAAGTCCCAGGATGTCTCGATTTCTTAGAGCAAGCTAGCCAGGAAGATGGAGATCGAAGGGAACTCGATTACTCCAGTTCAATATTCATATAATTAAGAGTTTAAGACGTACCTGCATCAAGACTACTGCAATGGCATCACCGGTAGGGGCAAGCTGGCGAAAGTGAGCAGGAAATATCGTCGCTAAAAGTACAACAATGGCTGTAATTGCTGGTAGATCGGCCCCTTCAATTCTCAGAAATCGAGTCAAAGAAGTACCGGCTTTGCAGATTGCAAAGGAAACCGCAACTGCTGTAGCAATCTGCAGCACGGGGAGCTTGCTTTCAGGGCGAGACTCCATAGTTGCAGTAGCATCTATCACAGAGATCACAGTATTTCAAGTGTAGGACATTGGCATATTGTGACGAGAATTATATCCAAGAAAACAATACAGATACAAGTTTCAAACATAAATATGATTCCTCGTATATATTTTTCGAGTGACGAGGAAAACCCGCAGCTATTACCCGATGGTGTACACCAGGTAAACCTCGTCTTAACCCTAGCCAGAAGGTAAACCAGTCTATGTTACTCATAACTGAAGCATGTGCTCCATCTCAACTAAAAGCCTAAGCTGATAGTTGGATTGCACATTTATGTTTATGTTATATTATATACTCAACATAGCTGGCTGACTTACTCAAACCAAGATGGCCAATAGGCCGCTCCACTGGGAGTCGAATTTGTAACCTTATGATTCCTTATATTATACCTACCACTGGTTGAAGTTGAAGCCTCCGAAGGGATTTTAGAGGCCAAGGCAAAAAGCACAATAAAGTATATTGCACAGATAACATTATCAGCAGCAACACCCGCGGCCATTACTGATGGAGAGACACTTAGTGCCTTACATATTGCCACGTAATTTATGGCTGCAAAACAAGAAGCAAAACTCTTGTCACAATGGCAAAAAAGTTTAAAAGTAAGCTTTCTCCCGATTTTGGGAACTCTGATTGACATTAAAATTTGCATGGATTGACATTATTAAGGAAGGGACGCTAGCTATCATTGATCAAGCCATTAATAGAACTGAAAGGCAAAGTAGATTCTATGAAGCTGCCTTAGGTAGATTGAGATTTAAGGCTCATTTCTATCCATTCATGACTCATTAAGCTAATAATAGAACTCCAATCAGTACATCAAATAAACTTATTTCTTTCAGAATCAAACAAATAAAACGCACTCATCTGAGTGTCGAAAAACTCAAACATTAAGACGCCACATCAAATTTCATTGCTCTAATTCCCAATATATACTTACTTCCACCAATATAACTCCCCATGAGAGCAGCAGCTATTTTCCAGTTATCTTGACCGAGAGATCGCATGGGCACCACTAGAAACGCAACTACAGTCCCGACGACTGTGGCAACTGTCCAAGCGAAAGACAAAAACATAAATTGAGTGAAAAACATAACACTCAGAAACCATATAAATGTTTTTCATAGTATGTGTAATAACAAGCTTGAACACCTGATCCTAGTAAGAAGGCCAAAAGCAGAGGACCAGTTGATCTCAACACACTTCTCAAATCTGCTCTGAACAACAGCAATGGAATCGTCAATGGAAGCAGAAACCCCAACACGGTCGAATATGCGGGCGCACCATGTGGAATAATCCCCACATTACTAGCTGCTAGCCCAACCAAAGTGCTAACTAATGCAGCACTTAGTATGCTGCCCATCTTAGTCTTCTCTGACCTTCAGTCCCCTGTGCCCACACATCAGCATTGCACATTTTCTTTTTTCTTTCTTTTCAAAAACACTCTGAGCACTAATCATAGTCAAAAATTACATTTTTTTGAAACCCACAACCAAAGGGTGTGCCCTAGATATACCCGACTTGCAATCCTAACTGGGAAAGGATATAAATCAGCCTAAGTTATCTATAATTGACCGGCTAAAACCAAGAAGGCCAATAAGCCGCTCCTGGAGTTGAATTTGTAACTTGTGGTTACTAAGATCAACTTGGGTTGCCCAAAATTACAGTTTTTGGTTTACGCATTTCTTTGTTTTCTTTAAGGACAATGAGGACACAATTTTATTTTTTTTCAATTACGGAGTAATTAAAAAAACATTTTGATTTCTCAGTAATCAAAGTCAGCGGGTGGGTAATGAAAGAGAAATGAGCATTACCAGAGACTAAAAGCGCCGGTGGCGAAAAGAGCCGTCCAAGTGCCCCAATTGTCTTCCGGTGAAATCAGAGGAGAACCCGAATGAGACTTGGCCGTTACGGAGCATCTTCGGCTTGCAAACGTAGGGGAATGTCTGAGGCATATGCCGCTGTTGGAGAATGCGGCGATGTTTAGGCGAGAAGCGAGAACTATTCTTGGAATAGAGGAGGATAATGGTGGTCGAGTGGCGAGCAGCGGCGACGGTGCAGCTGTCAACGCCATCTTCGGTGGCGGCGAAGTGGGACCAGCCGGTTTAGGTGCCACGCCGGCGGACCGGCGGTAGAGCGGTAGTCTGATAGATGTCCGTTCAGCTGGGAGTTTGACATGCAAGTGTTGACACGTGGTAAGAGTTTTATATGGATAAAAGAGATATTGCAGTTTTTATCATTTACGGAGTATTATTCACTTTTCATATTTGATTTCCATCTATTAATTTTGTTACATTTCATGTACAAATTTAGGGTATGTTTGGTTCGCACATAAGAATCGGTGGGTATCAAATACTTGGTATGGTAATGGGTTTTGGTGAATAGAGTGGAATGAGAATGGTTACTAATAGTAGTGCTTGAGAATGAATAAGGGAATGAAACCCTTATTGTATTTGGGTATGAGTTTTTCAATTGATGGAGTATTCGAAACCCATAGTAGTGTTCTAAAAACCTATCAACCAAACAACAACAATTACTTTCATACCCATTCCCATGGACAAAACCCACCAGCACATAGCTGGAAGTCAGAGGGCCCATACTACCTGCCTAACCCTTCGCTCCGAGGGACCGTAGATCGGAAAGCGCCAAACACACCCTTATTTTTATTGTCACATTTTATCTTACCAATCAAATTTTTGGCAATTAATCATAAAAAAAATATTAACAAATATTTCATTTAAAATTACTACAACAGAAAAATTATTCATTCAAATTTAAATACATAATACTCGCCAAGCACCTTGTACTCAGATAACATGTACTGACTTCTTCCATGTGAGAGGTCATGAGATGAAATCTCTAAAAGTATGTTTAAACAGATACTAATAGAGTCAGTAACATTAAAAAAAAACAATACATAGTACTCCGTACTATTACTAAAAGTTATTCTTGTAGTACTAATGTGGATAAATATGGACTACTAAAATTAACAAAAGGTTCCTTAAATTCATCAACCAAGAAAATTAGACTTCATGCAACAATATAAAGTATAACAGTAATCACAACTGTAGCAACATTCGGCATAATACACAGCAAGGACCATATGGAGAAATGGTGTCCTTTAAAATACAAAGAGCCTAAGCTGCATAATGTTTGTAGGAGCAACAAATCTTATGCACCATCTTCTTCTGTAGTAATCAGATCCTATTATCTGTTAACTGTTACTGCTGCGGGAGCTACTGTCTGCTGGTTTCTGTCTTTTTGAAAGGTGGCTCTCTTCTTCCATGGACTTCAGTTTATTCTTAATTGCAGCTATTTTAGCGCCACGGCTCATACGCGTTAAGGAACCTCCAGAGAGGTATGGTTTGGTTGTCTCGCCGCCTCCTACTGCTTTGGAAGAACTTTCTCCCCCTTCCATCAAGTACTTCTCGCTGGCAAGACGAACGATCAATGGGCGCCCGCAAACCAGTTTCCCATGCATCTTTTCCTTGGCTTGTTGAGCTTCCTGCATGCTCACTTTTAAACATAGAAATCAGGGATCTACACGACGTATTTTCTTTTTTTGACATTGATACTGATAATCGCAAAGTGATGCAAGATAGGGACTTAGGGAGTGTTAAAATAAGGAACTTACCTCTTTGGTACTAAACTGAACAAATGCATAACCGCGTGGCTCCCCACGTTTGGGTCCACGAGTATGCCACAAAAAGTCTTCAGATATTATCTTTCCATATGGTGAAAACATCTTAATCAAGGCCGCCCTAGCACCCCAACAAAAAAAAATTACATGAAATCAGTATATATGATGTTTTGTTCAATAATACTTATTTGAGGGATTAATAATGGGAGATTTCTATACTCTGAAATCCTTAGATCAAGGTTGCCAATATAAAGTCTGCTTTCAGACTTCTCATCAGAAAGGTTATTAGAATCCTGCAATGGCATTACAACTAATCAATTAGGAGCTGTCACACTCTCAGACACCTAATCAAAAGGATGGTCAGGTATACACAAGGAGATATTGAAACATGAATCTATCAGATGATTTAATATTCAATTTTGATCCAGTGGTTACTTCGGAAAGGTTAAACATGGATAATCCATTCAATGACTATAGAATATTCCACCAGAACAAGAAGAATGAAGCTCAAGTGCATACTTGAACGATTGAACCTAACACTGATAAAACCTACAAATTAGTTTTCTTATTGCAATAGATGATTCCAAATAAAAGTTTAAATCAGATCCAATTCAAGTTTACCAAATGCAACACATTTCACTTCTTATATCCTGCATTCAGCAATCACCACTAACTCACTAAGACCAAAGACCATAAATGAGTATATCATGAGCAACATCCCAAATAAAATGGTCGAGGAAGGCAGGAATTCAATTGATAAAACGACCATATAAGCACACAATACAGTAAGAGAAGGAAAGTACCATGGACTGCAAAAAGTTCGAAAATTTCTGAAGCTTCAATTGATGATCAAAGTAACTTGTACCCTCTTCCAAACCCAGGCCAAGCAATGAATGTTTCTCTCCAGCTGCAAAATATTCCCTTGCTTTACTGTGCCAATCCACAAAGTTCCCTATTCCCAAATCTTTATCTCATCACTTAATCTCGTGGCACAAAAATTTATCCTCTGAAACATTAAAAAACAACTCCGTATCAGAACCTGAATAGTGGGTGCAATTTAATTTGGATATTATTCATCCAAGACTAACAAGTCCTTGCTTCAAGTAATCAACATCCCGCTTAATTTCTCGAGTTGCAAATATACTACAACGCATCGGAGTATAAAACCCCTTATACGAAACAAAAGATTAAGAAAAGCTCTAAACAAACGGAACCCTAAAGTTCAACAACTCCTGGGAAAGCAAAATTAATAATTTAAAATCAAGCAATTATTGAATCTTTGCATAAAAACGCTAATAAAAGGTTGTAATTGGAAGTGTCTTACTCGATTTTGGTTGAATAGCAGATGAAGTCGATGGAGACTTGGAGAGTCGACAGCACTACAAACAGCAAGCAAGCGGAGAACGACGAATGGGGTGACAGGTGACCGATGAAAATGTGAAAACGGGTCACTTGTTTTCTAGGCTTAAGCCCATACGGCCATACGTGATTTGGACCACTTCTTTTGATTAAAAGTAATAATTTAAATATTTGTAATAAATCCAATAAAAAAATAATAACAAATCTTACTCATAGAAAATAAGTGAATAATTGTCTTTTTTTACTGAAAAGAAAAACATATCACTTTATTAAATCAAATGAACAATATAAAGCGGAATTGAAATAATCTAATAAGAAGGATCAGACGATGAACGAGCACTTCTAGTAAAAGTATGAACGAGCTAGTGAATAATTATCTTATTTATGCACATAATCAGTAATCCAATTTTTATCAATATCAACTAAGAAACAAATCAGTATAAGCAAAATTTTAAACTTTCATTTAAATAGATAAATCAGCAATAAAATAAGAGATTCTATATTATTAAATCATTTTATTTAAATAATAAATTATTGTTATTATTATAAAATATAATAAAATTTGATTGTTTTGTTAATGTTTAGTGTTTTAATTTAGTAAGCCAAACCCGTTGTATTGTCATATGCTCTTTGTAACTGTGTGTACTCATGCATAAAATCGTGTGCATCGTAAAATGTCACTTGAATTGTGTACACACACGTCGTACGTCACACTCATACATTACGCTATGCATACTTTAAAATTGCACTGCGTCTATGCTCACTTTGAAGTGCACACATACATATCATGCACCATTACAAGCAAATATGTACACATACGTTAAATTTATAATGCACACATATATCATATGAATACAAAGTGCACATTAGATCACGACGAGATGCATGATAAGTGCAAAGGAATAAGGTTCAAATTGGCCACTGAACGTAACCTGAAAGTGCAATTAGGCCACTGATCGAAAAAAAAGTGCAATTTGGCAACTGAACACTCAAAAAATATGCAATTTCACCTGATAGCAGGTTACCCTCAATTTTAGCAGGTTATCTGCTTACATGGTAACTGAGTTGGCATTTTTAATAAATTTTAATTAATTTTTAATAAATTTTAATAATAACTTTTTATTAAATTTTTTTTTTAAAAATAAAAACGACTTTATTTTATTTTTTATTTAATTTTTTCCAATTTTTTTTATAAAAGTTATTATTAAAATTAATTGTTAAAAATTATTAAAAATGCCAACTAAGCTGCCACGTAAGCAGGTAACCTGCTAAAATTGATGGTAACCTGCTATCCGGTAAAATTGCATACGTTTGGAGAGTTCAGTGGCCTAATTGCACATTTTTGAGTGTTCAATGGCCTAATTGTACTTTTTTTTTTTCGTTCAGTGACCTAATTGCATTTTCAAGTTACGTCAGTGGCCAATTTGAACCTTAATGCACACTTATAGAGACTAAAATGAGCACTTATACATTGTGTGTGAAAATTACACATAGATGAATTACAAATAGTAACAATAGTATACTCAAAGAGGTATATGTGACTCTCTATCGGTTGTAAGCAGTAGAAGGCAAGGTAGGGAATAAAGAAACGACAGTAGCAGTACAAGAATCCCAAGCAAAGGAGGGAGAAAGTTTGAGTAAGCTTCACACAATAATAATTGAAAAAATTGAAAATACAACTTCTCTGCCGGCGCAAAAGAATCAAAATATCATCGCCGATGACTCACTTTGCGCTTGCCATTCAAAGAATCAGTTTACATTTCCCATTAGTGATGCACTAGTGTTTGTAATCCTTGCGGTTTTACCCTCCCGGCTTCGATTTCGATTTTTGTTTCCAGGAAAGAGGGAGTGTGTTAGGGATTTGCGCGAGAAAAGCAAGGGACAGTAGGATGACGGAGGTGATCCTCCACATCTATGATGTGACGAACAGTGGCTCCGACAAGACAAACAACACCGTTCTTCATATCAATAGGATTTTCAAAGACGGCATCGGTCTTGGCGGCATCTTCCACAGCGCCATCCAGGTATGTATATCACGTATGCCTGTTTTTATCTCGTTATACGTGCATTTTGCTTCGCGGTTTCTGCTCTCATTATGTAGCTTATCTGATCGGTGGTTTAAATTGCGGAATTAGATCTAAGATTTGAGTGTAGTTCTCCGGTGGAGATACATTGGCTGTGGTAAATATTTTGTCTTCTGTTCTATTCCACCTTTTGTGTATGAATGCTTTTCATTGGAATTATGCATCGTTGCTGGTACAAACAAACAATGTAGCAGCTTCTGAATATGTATATGTGGTTGTGCATGCCTGTGTGAGAGAGAAAGCACTGAATTATACTGCAGTATGAGAATGAGTATTTCATCTGCTTATGGAATGAGTTAATTTATTGAGTGCTTTTGGATACTTTTTTGCTGTTTTAATGGCTGTATACTTTTTCTTTCTTTGCGATATCATGTGCCGTCATAGGATTCCTTCATCTTTACGTTTGGCTGTTTCAATTATTCTGTATATATTCACTGTGTAAATAGGTTCATGGAGACGAGGAGTGGTCATTTGGGTACTGTGAACAAGGTAGTGGAGTGTTTAGCTGCCCTTCGGGAAAGAATCCAATGTATTCATATCGTGAAAGCATTGTTCTTGGACAGACAAACTGTTCAATTTTCAAAATGAACCAGATACTGCGAGAACTTAGTAGAGATTGGCCAGGATTCTTGTATGACTTGCTGTCAAAGAATTGCAACCACTTCTGTGATGAGTTCTGTGAAAAACTTGGTGTCCCCAAGCTTCCTGGTAAAGTTCTCTCTCTCCTTGCATGTCTGTCTATGTGCTTGTGTATCCATTTTTCTTTTTTGGTCCTTTCCTATATGTTGCCGTCCTCTTGCAGGCATCACCTAGTTGTTTCGGGGAGGAGATCAAATTAAGTAGAATAAATTGAAATTTTAGCATCACTATTCACTAACACTAGAGAAAATGGTGAAAATTTTGTCAGGACAAGATGTTACCTTGAGTATATACTTAATAGGGAAAGACTGTTAGTTGATGATCTCAGTCATATAATAAGACTGACTGGATAAAGTGGAGGAGTATAAATATATTTTCATCACCATACAACTCCACAATGGTGTAAAGCTGAATTCTGATGTTACATTGGCTATGTTTTGATAATAGTAAGTGTTGGACTGTGAAGAAGCATTGTCAACAATCTGGCATTTTGGTGGTAACTGAGTAAAATGCTTAAATGGATGTATATAGATACAACACAGGACCACATTAAAATGACTTTAATGAATTTAATTACAAGTGGCACCTATTGCCTACAGTGAAAGAAATCGATAAGATCATAATGGAACTAGTTGCAATAGCACATGTGAAATAAGGAGGTAGACCAAAAGAAACCTGCATTATAAGTTGTTTATAGAGCTATGTTAGCACAAGGACACATGACAAAATTATAAAAGAGAATTGAAAAATATACTTTTATAGGCTTAGCTAACCTCAACTAAATTGGAATAAGGCTTGAATTATGGTTTGTACTGTCACCAGTGTGTGGTAAGTAATGCTGTAAGACATGCTCCCATTTAGGTTGGAAGAAATGTGAACTTGGACCTTTCTTATGCATTCAGTAATCAGATGGAGTTATTTGTTAATGGAGGCTAAGTAGTGGGATCTCTGACTCACCATACCTAGTTTTTTGTAATTGGAAAAATCATGCTTGATTCTAAAATGGTTCTATCCATCATGGCATCATGTGTACTTTGCTCAGTAGCATACTGGTAGACAAATTTTAGCATGAAAAATATGGAATCTTATTTTCGGTTTTCACACATCTCTCTTATATTTTTGAGGAGGTGTAAAATGCTTTAAGTTTTCTAATTGTAATAATTAGAATTAGCTAGAAACTAGAAGTTAATTGTGTTGCTACTATTTGGTCTATTTGTTTACTGGTACATAGTTTTATTTTAGGGGATAGTTGGCTCAGTTTTGGAAGCTGGAACATTTAATTTCTGAAGTGTGAAAATATCCCTTATGGAAGTGGACAAGTGGTATATTAAATTCTCGATGCATTTATGAACGAATTACTAGTCACTTTAAATGTGAAGTAAATTGTTAAATGTTAATTATGGGTATTGATATTACAGGATCTTATTATTATTATTTATTTATTTTTAATTCTCAAATGTTTGGGTTCCCTGATTGATAACAATGTATGGACTCTAGATTCAGCATTTTCTTACCCCCATCCCAGCACCTTGTGTTTTGCTTAAACTAAATATTAAAAAGTTCACATTTTATGTCATCTGTTGATACTTTTGTCATTCTCAATTTGCATTTTGGCAAGTTCTGTATAGAATGATCATAACCATGATGTTCTTACTAATATTGTCAATATTTTATATAGACCATGCTCTTATGTAGTTTCTGTTACAGGTTGGGTAAATAGGTTTGCTCATGCTGGTGATGCTGCACTGGAGATGGCAGAAAACACAGCCTTCCGTGTGAGTTTTTATTTGTGATTGCAATATTAAATTTTTTACCTTCCACTATGTTAGTTGTAATGTTGCAGTGTTATCAATAGGACAGTTACTGCTTAAGTAAATTTGTAACATAAATTTTTTTTGCTGTTAGATCATGTCATACAATGTGTCTGACTAGGTCTATGAATAGATCCATTATCTGTATGGAAAAGAATTTGGAGCACCTTTCTCTATGACCACATTTTGTTTAGTTGTTTAGTTGTTATCCCGGTTTCTAGTGCATCTTTCCTGATTATCCAAGTTTTCTTCTTCTTGTAGCTGCGACAAGCTAAAGCTGAGATTGTTACAGCCAGCAAAGTGGCTTATCGGTTCCTTGTGGGTGTTGCTTCCAGTAGTTCTAGTTGTACCCCGGAGTTGCCTAGAATTCCCAGCAGTGAAAGTCCTAGAGGTGAGGCATCCCCAGCAGGGCCTAAAGTTACTTGGTTTACAGATCTTATGGACATTGGTGCCAAACCATCGAGTAGTTCAGATATAGAGAGCAATATAGAGGTGAGGGGGCATCCCCAGCAGGTCGAGGACACAGAAACAACCCGAAGGCGAAACTTGCCGTATGAAGCCTGATGGAATATCCTTATCATCATAGTGTGTTTACTCTGAAATCTCTTAATCCAGTTTGATCAGTGTAAATTGTTCACTTTTCCTTATAGCTCACAATTTATATTCATATTCTTCTGGCAAATTGAACCTAATACCATGTTGCTACTCAACAGTACCTTTCTGTGTGCAGTTGTGTACATTATGCCATTTCTAGTTTTCTACTATCTTGCTATTCTTGCATATTGCATTAGTTACAGTCTCATCTCCACTGTAAAAGAGAGCAATTCTCATCTCGACTGCAACAAAGGTGAGGTATGTTGTTAACCGAATCTGATTAATGAAAATTCTGTTTAACTGAACTAGATACAACATTGTTAATCGAATTAGATAACATAAAATGAAAATTAAGGAACAGTTCTTTGTCATATATGTCAACCAAATTAAATACCCTACTTAATAGCATGATGGAAATTACAAGTACAATAATGCACTAGCCATATGTCCACCTAGTTTCGTACATTCGTACTCTTCTTGTTGTACCCAAAGCTAGAATTGAAAAAGAGCATCACCAAAGCTAGAATTGAAAAAGAGCATCAACATTGAATGCAATAGTTAATGAATTGAAAAAGAGCATCAACATTCTTCTCATTAAGGAAAGTAAAAGGGAAAGCTAAACACAGCCAACAAGTGATTTCAGAGCAGTTGTCTTGCATAATACATAGTACAAACATAACGACTCGCAAATGAGATCAGTATGTTTTTGCTCGTAATATTTACACAGCATTATTCAAAACCACAATATTTTTTTTTTTCATTGACAAAATAAAATAAAAAGCATTAGATAGGAAAGAATCAGCTGACTAGACGGTACCTTGGCCGTCTAGTTACTCTCTCTTAACATCCGATTGAAAATGTATGTGTGTGCAGGTGCATCCTCAGCAATCTGAAGCGATGAAATAGCCTCGGCAAATGAACTGGGAGAAAGCGGCGTGATGTCCCAGTTTCCCTTGTCCAAAAATTGCGGGTGGAGAACTTGTTCAGGCGAGACCATGCACTCGGTGTTGCCAAAATCGTTCCACGTGCATCCATACCTCTGGTCACCGGAGATCCACATTGATCCTTCAAATGAACATTTCGAGAGATCTCGTTGAGGAAATACTGCTCCCGTTCCACCCACGATGATGTCGAAATTCCTACTATGATCCCATAGGTCCAGCCCCCCCATGTCCTTCTTCTGCATCACCTCGTTCGAATCCTCCGAATCCTCGCCAATTAGGACATGCAAAGCGACAGCTTCGGCAATCGCAGCGCCCTCTTCATCCAGCCGTTGTTGTTCTTCCTTTTTCTTCTGTTTCTTCTTTTCTAGTTCGAGACGGATCGCTGCAGATGTAGCCAAAGCCTTCTCTAAGCGTCTCTTTTTCTTCTCAGCCTGTTTGATGCGGTCCAACTCGTCCTTTACTTGCTTCTTCTTCACTTTCCTAACATCAATTGGGGCTTTGCCGCAATCCATCTTATCCGGCACCAACTACTTTCTTAACTCCTAAGTTTAATATAACTCTCTTTCCTGCTAAAATCCTAAGACGAATACATCATCACTGTAACTAACTTCCTCCTATAACCTGTTATTTAATGTTTATGAAGAAAAAAAAGGTCTGATACTGTAAACCGATATATTATATTTAAAAAAAAAAAAAAAAAGAAAAAAAAAACTAGCCCGTATGCCTACACCCACTCAGGTCTGAAGGAATACCTCATCTTGCGAACGATACAATCCCAAACAGAAACAACAGGAGACTGAAGTAGAGAGATGTGATATGAGCTCACATTCTTGTCCCTGGCCATTCTTCCCAATTTCCCACAACCTTTGCATTTACCCATTTCACGACAACTACCCAAATTTACCTGATTCAAAACCCAATAATACCAAAAAGAATCCGTCTAGTTCAAACAACTCACATGGCCTTCCCTCCTGTTGCAAAACAAAAAACACTCAAAAAATGGCAAAAGTTTATAAAGAACAGGGTGTTAAACAAACATAACAGAGGACCAAAAACAAAGACGTCTTTCATAATCTAACATCAACCTAGCTTATAAAGAAAATTTCAACTCAAAACCATATGCTTTTCACAATATCACCCAGACTTCAACCTTAATGCGAACGAAAACAAACCGAGAAAAACAGCATCAACAAAGCATCGTATGCATTACAAACATACACACAAGAACTCGGGAAAAGCATATTAGTAAAGCAGCATCTAGATCCCAATAACTGAAAACCCAGTCATGTCTCATCCTATGCATAATGTAGAAAGCCATAGTTCAGCCCTAATCTACGCTAGCCTAACAGTTTATCAAATCCACGCTCTAGAGAGAACTTCAATGTTGGCCCCTCGTTTATTTGCCCACAAAAGGCTAAATTCCCTGACAAAAGGCCAAATTCACTAGCCGGGCGCCGGCCCCACACCCCGACCTGACAAGACAAGATAGTGGATGGGTAAATTACGATAACTTGGGTGGGAGGAACAAGGACTAGTGCCTGGGAGGGCACTTGTTTCTTTGAGGAAAAGAACTTTCACCCGTTGACTGAAATGAAGTGAATTCCAAATCATTTTCCACCAGACAAAATTTCAGCCATGATTTTGGATAAGATGAGGGGTGAGCAAGTGAATAAGAGCCCTAATTTCAATACCAGTAATCAGATAAATTCTACTGAAACCCAAACACCCATTTACCCATATCTCACAACACCGAATCCAATTCACTCCATATCTGAATCAAAACACAACCCTTCGGCACACATATTAAAAAAAAAAAAAAAAGACTCGATTTTTACTCAAACAAACACCAGATCGGAACACCCAGAGCACAAATCACAGAAAATAATACAATTAAACCATAAATTCAAGATCTTCAACCGCAATTAACCAAAAAATAAAGCGAAAAGCAAGAGAAGCAGACCTGTTCAACGAAGATGAGAAAGAGAGAGAGAAAAAAAGGGCTTCCCCAGAAGCAATCTTTTTGTGCGCCGGTTTAGAGAGAAGGAGATTTATATAGTTGGGTGCGTTCGGATCCAAATATGAAAAATAAGGACGGGATGAGAGACACAAAGAAAGTTAAACAATTAACTGATCACATGAAACTGCCGGTGAGAGGGTAGGGGGGGCTGATGAGTAGAAGAAGGAAGGGCAGAATCGTAAATTCAAGAAATCCCGAGAGAGACACATGGCATGTGTGAACAGGGGTTTGGAGAGTGGGGGCCACGTGCTTGGATCGGTGCGTGGGGTAAGGGATCCAATAATAGCACCCAGACAAAAAAAGGGCTGCCATTGGATCAACTTCAAGTCGATATAGCAGACGTCACTCTGCCATCATCATGGGGCTGTTCCATTCTCACTTTTTTTTTTTAAATAAAAAATAAAAAAATAAAAAAAAACTAAAATTTATATGTTTGAAGATATAATTTTTTTTAATGCTAATGATTTTATTATATTACACTGAGACTCGATCTAATGATCTCTCACGTGGGAAAAATTTCTACATGTCATCTGAATACACAGTGCTTGACAAGATATAATTTTATTTATTTATTTATTTTATAATGAATTAATCAGTTTACTATAAAGATCAAAATTTCTACATGTCATCTGAACACACAGTGCTTGACAAGATATAATTTTATTTATTTATTTATTTTATAATGAATTAATCAGTTTACTATAAAGACCATATATATAGAATTGTATAAAATTTGGTATGATTTTGATGTGGTTGTACCAACAAAATTCTGTATAATCCTTTGTCAGTTACATAATTTTTAATTCCTATATTTCTAATTTTCTATATTCAAATTCATCATCACTGTCTCATCAAACATACCCAAAAAAAAGAAACATTGAAAATAAAGTATGGTACATATGGTACTGTATATATAATAGATTTCCCATTGTATCATCTTTTCTATAAATATGAATATGGATATGTACATACTGCACTTTCTAAGGATATATTAGCTTTGTATTTCTTGTTTATACGTTGTGCATTCATAGTGATTTTAGTATATTTTTAGTTTTTATGATCGTGTTTTATCTTTTACTTTCACGTCACTACTTTGCGTTTGTTAATTTTTTATTGCTATCTCTCATCTGTGGGGTTAACGTCTAAAATTATATTTGTTGATCCTTTTACTTTTGTAATCGATGAATGGCCTATACGAATATATGATTGATTAAAATCAAGACATTAGTAAGGAAAAGAAGAATAATTGCACTCAACTATTATTGTTTTGAGTAAAAAAAGTCTTAAATCCTTTACAAATTATTTTCCTCAAACCTAATTATGATACTTAGCATGAATTAGGAAAGTAGATTTCACAAATATATGATTGATTGAAATCAAGACATTAGTAAGGAAAAGAAGAATAATTGTACTAAACTATTATTGTTTTGAATAAAAAAAGTCTTAAACCCCTTACAAATTATTTTCCTCAAACCTAATTATGATACTTTGTGACAATAGGAAGATAATCTCTTATCTCCTAAATTAGGAAAGTAGATTTCACAAATCATGTGCATACAAATTGATTGCTTTGTGACAATAGGAAGATAATCTCTTATCTCCTAAATAAGGGACACAAATCATCACAATTGTCCATTCAAAAAAAAAAGTAAGCGAACCCTTTAAGACTTAGTGATTTCATGACTGAAGACTATGTTTGAGTTTGAATTATACTTAAAACATGAATGGGAAAAAGATTGAATGATAGAAGACGTGGACTGGATCTCTTGTGTACACATGAATATATACTAGGGTCTGACCGATGGACTAATTGTGTGACTCACGATTTACCCCTTGTAGTGGCTCTAGGGGCGAGGTCCGGTGAGCTTAGGTTTAGTCCGATAAATGTAAAATAACCTAAGTTTTTTTTTTTTTTTAAAGGCAAAAACTTGTGTGAGACTGGCGGGTCGGATCTTTAATTAATACAGACAAAGATCCAATTCATTAATTAAGATCTGACCCGTCTCACAGATTAAAACTGTAAGACGATCTCACACAAGTGTTATCTCCCTCCCCAAAAAAGAGTAAACATGTTCCAAAATCTCGAATTGAAATGCGACTAGGCTAACCACTTGGGTGAGGTTGAGTGCAAGGTTTCCAATACCCAACACATTAGTACTAAACCTAAATTGATTTAAAGAATGAATATTAGAATCAAGCAAGAGACATTAAACTAAATGACTAAAAATGCAATATTGTAATACAACTGGAGGTTAAAAACTAAAAAATGCAATATTGTAATACAACTAGAGGTTCTGGACTCTCAAGACATTACCTCTAGAATTGTTGAAAGAAGTGAATCGCAAGTTGCTCAGTTAGACCCTACATCCCCACAACATGTGCCTTAACCATATTGATAGGATCGTTATGTTGTGGAACCGTGTCCACCTTGCAAGATGGACACGGTTCTATATTCATAATTACTGAACTATATATTCATAATTATAAAGCTATATATTCATAATTTTTGAACTCCATATTCATAATTATTGAACACTATATTCACAATTACAGAACTCTATGTTCATAATCATAAAACTATATATTCATAATTTTTAAACTTCATATTCACAATTATTGAATCTCTATATTCATAATTATAGAATTATATGTTCATAATTATATTCACAACTCTACGTTCATAATTATATAACTATATGTTCATAAGTTTTGAACTATATATTAATAATTATGAACAGTTTTGGAACCGTGTCCACCAGTTTCACATCATAATTTGCCATTTTTTTTTAATTTTTATTTCTAATTGGAAGGGGGAGACCCAAGCAAACAATTACACAGATTCATGGGTATTTCGCCACAAGGGAAACCCAGCCAAATCATCTTCTAAGTACCCTCTAATTATATCTGGAGGATGAGTTAGTCTATGTAATCCATCGCTAAATTGCCGCGAGAGTTTAGATAATGCATCTGCCACCAAGTTTTGTTCCCGATTGATTTGTGATACCTGCTAAAGTTCAAACAGCCGTAGCTCTTTTCTGCATGCTAACAAGACATTATGTGCTGCAATACGGGGGGATTTATTACTGTTGAGAAACTCGACTGTTTCTTATGAATCGCTTTCAAATAATACCCGTGTGAAACCCAACGCTGCTGACAGTTGAATTCCTTTGAGAAGCGCCCAAGCTTCAGCTTCCCGTGGGGTGCAATTGCCTATGGTAGCCACAAATCCATGCTTCCAATCCCCCATACTATCTCTTATGACACTTCCACACCCTGCAGAAAAGGATGATGGGATAATCGACCCATCAACATTTACCTTAACCAGGTTATCCGGTGGTTTCATCCAACAAAGTTTCTTCCAATCCAGAGAATTGCCGGTAGGTTTGAAGCCCCTAGCTTTATCAAAAACACTAATTACTTCATTCACCTGGACCTTTATTATGGCTGTCTTTGATTCAACCGGGATAATTTGCCATATTGATACCCCACTATTAACACCATCAAGAACTGAATGGCAATGCCAACTCAACTACTATTAAGAACAATTTTATTTTTTTTTTAAAATTTTTCATGGAGAAGAAGGATGGGGAACAATCCCATTAGCTTCTTGCGTTAGCACATCACATACCCAACTCTTGTTCTCTCAAGATCCCAAGAATTGACACAAGTGGATTATCGAACCACCTTAGCTTCCTCATCTTGTTTGCAAGATATCTTCCTTTGCCAACTCGTCAGCAGCGGCTTTGAATGTTTTATTTTATTTTTTTTCCTTGTAGCTATTAACACATTTATTTATAACCATTTTTTGGATACTAAGATAAAGTGTATATGTCAATTTTAGTATTAAAAAAAGATTTTGAAATCAGAACCTTTAGTCATTAGTTTTAAAGTAATTTTGGGCTTATTATTTGAGAAAATTTTGGATTGATTGTTTTCATAGTTGGGCATAGTTATGCTTCCATTTCTTCTTCTTCTTCTGTGAATCACCCATTTCGTCTTCCCCAAACATTGTTGAAGAAATGATATCTCTACAACACTTCTTCACAAACCCTAACCCTAACCCTAACCCTTACTCTTCCCTCTTCTACTCCTCCACCTTCAACCCTCCCATTATTCCTCTTGCATCCAAAACCCTAAAACCCTACACCAAACCCTATTCGCCCGCCACCACTGTCAAGGCAATCCTGCAGTACAACCGCAAGCCTCAGCTCGCCGGAGAAACCCCCAGGGCCGTCGTCATTACCTCCGGCAAAGGCGGAGTCGGGAAGACCACCACCACCGCCAACATTGGCCTCTCCCTCGCCCGCCTCGGCTTCTCTGTCGTCGCCATTGATGCCGACGTCGGCCTCCGCAACCTCGACCTCCTGCTCGGCCTCGAGAACCGGGTCAATTACACCGTCGTGGAGGTTCTCAACGGCGACTGCCGCCTCGATCAGGCTCTCGTTCGAGATAAGCGGTGGTCCAACTTCGAGCTGCTCTGTATCTCCAAGCCCCGATCCAAATTGCCCATTGGTTTCGGCGGAAAAGCGCTGACGTGGCTCGTGGAAGCCCTCAAGGCCCGCGATACAGGAGTCCCGGATTTCATCCTCATTGATTGCCCTGCCGGCATTGATGCTGGATTCATCACTGCAATCACGCCGGCAAATGAGGCCGTCCTGGTAACAACGCCTGACATTACTAGCCTCCGAGATGCAGATAGGGTAACGGGGCTGCTGGAATGCGATGGAATCAGGGATATTAAGATGATTGTGAACAGAGTCCGAACAGATATGATCAAGGGAGAGGACATGATGTCAGTGCTTGATGTGCAGGAAATGCTAGGGTTGCCATTGTTGGGGGTGATTCCTGAGGATACAGAGGTCATTAGAAGTACCAACAGAGGATATCCATTGGTGCTGAACAAGCCGCCCGCCCTGGCTGGGCTGGCATTCGAGCAAGCTGCCTGGAGGTTGGTCGAGCAGGATAGTATGGAAGCTGTAATGGTGGAAGAGCAGCCGAAGAAACGAGGATTCTTCTCATTTTTTGGAGGGTAGAAAGTGAAGTTCTTTGCAGCTGCTTGGTGGGAAGGAAAGAAGCTGTGTACAGTAGGAGAGTTGAGGTTTGCCATTCTTCCATTTTCGTTGTTTCACGTTTGATTGATGGTAGATAGGATTATAAATTGTAGTACCTTTTTGTTTTGCTGATTTCTTGAGCTGAACTGTATCATGTGTTCCAATTAAATCCAATTTCTTTATGATATCTGTGCTCAATTCCTGGAAAGGAAAAATGTTGATATCATCAGTAGTTTCAGTATTCTTATCTATCATAGTATTGGACAGATCATCTACATAAATTGAAAATGAATCGTGGTAACTCAGATTTTGCAGCTTGTCTACACAACTGTTGCATCCTACATTAACTAGGAAGTAGCTTTAAGTGTCTTTCTTGAACTGTAAACTCCAGTTGTTCCTATCTGCAAGATTTGAAATTCTATAGGTTCTTTTTTCTGTATCATCGAACAAAATTAAGTGAATCTGAGTTGTAGCTCGCAGAGTAGTTTCCGACCCAGTGTAGTAATGTCTCCTGAATCATTGAATACCATCATTTTAGATGAATGCTAGTAATTAAAACATTGGACCACCAAAATATTTAAAATTTTTACCTGCTCCCAAAGTCAAGATGAGAATCTCCCTATCAGGATCTTCCCAAACCAAACTTACCAATTTATCGAGCACCCTATCCTGAGAATCCAACAGCATTTCCAGATTAAAATTGATATGGAATTTGCTATAATGATTAGACACTAAAAGCTGAAACTTTCTTGGTGAAAAAGCAGAATGTATTGTACCAGGGAGGGGATAAATTCAGACGAAGGACAAACTATAGATCTAGCAAGATCACTTCCACTTGTACAATGACTCGTTTCTCTGGCAGCGTAAACCTGGAGCTCAAAATTAGATGTAATAGTCGGGCCTCAAATGTAAGCATGGTGCATCAGTAAGGTTGTTCCATTGCAACCTAGAGGAGGCCTATTGTGAAGCAAGTGAAAAAGCTATTCACAACTATCCTACTACTTGGTTCTGCAATGCAAAAGTCTCTCATACCGACTCAACCTATTTCGGCTACATAACCAGTTGATATTAGCAACTTGTAAATCAGATCAAACTTACTCCATATTAATTATACCTCTGTAACTACAACCTGGTCTGCATCTTTAAATGCAGCAGCAAACTCACTCTTTAGAGCTGCTATGCGACTGCAAAGGGTGAAAACACAAAAACGTCATTTAAAGTAAATTATGTTTGAAACAATATTTGTGATATATATAAGTATATAACTGACCTATAAGTGTGAGGTTGAAAAATTACCAACAGCTCCGTAAATGGAAACCTTTGACGTGCTGCTTGAAGAACAGCACGAATTTCAGTTGGATGGTGAGCATAATCATCATAAATGTGACATCCACAAATTGTCCCAACCTTCTCAAAACGTCTACAAATGCCTCTAAAATTGAGCAAATGTGACCGAAGAGAAGTTATTGTATCAAAAAATCCGTTATCCCTGGCTACAATACTCACTGTGGCAATAACCTGCAGGTTCAGGAACAGAGATACTAACTGGTTACCTATAACTGATAAGAACAACAGGCTATAATTCCTCTATAACTTATTTTTAAGAATTAAAACTGGCCTAATAGTGTCAAACATCCAAACTCTTGGTAAAATTTGCAATTCTATCCTTTTAAAAGAAATTTTGTCTAGTAAATCAATATGGTTCAAATTAAGATCAATTTCACCCAATCTCTCCACTTGGTCAAAAAAACTTCTTGGTTTTTGCTAACATGGCAGCCACTTAAACAGAAATTGATTTTGATTATGATGTATAGGATAAATTGATTCTAATGTAAACCATTTGGATTTTAATTGACAAAAAAAAACAAAAAAAAAAAATAGATAGATAGAATTGCAAAATTTGCAGAAAGTTAAAATATTTGGTGCTATTTGACCATTAAAAATACGGAAGGTTTACTATATAATATTTACTCACTGCCAATGAATTAATAATATTATGGATTCCAGGCATCCTTAGGCTGATGTCTGCAACATAGTGCCCCTTGTGATACTGCAAGAGAGTAATTCACAAAAAAACTATCAAGACTAAAGGCATAGCTATTTGACAACCTAGCAATTGCAGATATAAAAAGAACATATTTAAATCATTATTCTTGAAGGTTTAACAGAAAGCAATCACATTAAAGGACAAATAACTTACCAGCTTATAATCACTACCACCATATGAATTTGGATGAATTGATGAAGCATGCCAATCATTAAAACTGGAAATACCATAAGTTGTTATGTGATATCTATCACAGCACAACTCTGAACTTGGAAAAGTTTCAAACTCATTTGAAATATTTGGCTCAGTATCTGCTTTTCCACGGCTGCACAAAGAAATATATGCACCTGCACAGCTGCACAATTTTTTGTTATTGGGACAATAAATGTACCAGACATAATAACAAGAAACTCACAGAAGTGAATTTCTGGTCCTATCACTAGTGAAACAGAGAGTAAAGTTCATCATACGTCATCACATAAGGTGAGGGGAGTCCCCAAACAAATTTGAACTGAGATGCAGTAAACTCCCAAAAGTCAGTGGTGCTATTGGAAGAATCAATTCTTTAAGGATGATTTCAGAATATACAATTTACTTCCTTTCCAAAATTTAGAGAGATTGGTGATTTAATGTTGTTGCAATGCTCTGGCAATAATGTGTGTGGTCATGGCAACTATTACTGAAAGATTAGGAGACAAGGGCCTTGGAATATAAATCACACCTATCTCCACATAAAATGAGATGCCCACCATCCCTTATTTGCTGGACAAATTGCCGGAAAGTTGCTCTAACTTCCTCCTGAAAGGAAAAAAGAAATGGTGGATATCCTGAGGCCAAAAGTTAAGTTCTTATAAAGCATACTATTTACTAGTTAGGATTTGGACCTCATTTTGAAAGATATCCACATGTTCCCAATCCACATTAGTAACAACAGCTATATGAGGTCTTAATCCCAGGAAACAATAGTCATACTCATCAGCCTGCATTAATCATCAGCACAGAGATTGAGTGCTGCAGAAATGTGTTCAAATTACAGCAGTTGAAACCTTCAATGCCAGTTATAAACGAACACCCGGAAGTAAATTTGTTGGACTAAAATGATATCAGAGAGAATACATCTTCTTAAGGATAATCAATACTACTAAGGTGGTATAAATTTCCTCCTGATGCCCTCCAGGATATGTATTCCACAGTATAATCAATTCTACCATGAAAAGAGATCTGAAGGGATACCTCCAAAACAAAATTGTTGCTGGTACCATAGATGATGTTTCCCCCATCAAACTGAAGAGGGCAGGTGAAATTTGATTAGACTAATCTTTGGAATAAGATTTGTCACTTGGCACAATAAGCATCAACTGAAACAATGAAATCAACACTATGACTATACCTGTGGCACCTTAGCCCCAACTACAGCTGTAATGTCATCTCCCATTGCACGCAAGAGATAAGCAAGCATACTAGCTGTGGTACTCTTTCCTGCATTTTAAAGCAGAAGCTATACTTGAGTGGCTAACTGATCTTTACCATCCTCATGCCAATTGCCAACTTGTAGATGTAACGAGGCATTGTTTAAATGTCTTTCATTGCGTCGTTATGCAGAGAAAAGCATATAAAGAAATAGATTGAAACTTATCATTGTTACCACTTACCATGGCTTCCACTTACAGCAATGAGGTTGTGACCCTCTGTTATCTTTCCCAACCACGCACCTCGTTTGTATCTACAATGATAATATCACACTTTTGCTATTAAAACAATTCAACAATCTGGTTGAATCAAGTTACAAGTGTAATTTGCTCACACTGGAACTCTTCTAGCCTTGGCATGCAAAATCTCCACATTGTCTACAGGGATGGCACTCGATACAACAACCGCATCTGGCAAACTCGAACCATCATTTCTTAGCAAATTAAATTCAGAATGACCTATGTATAAACGGGCTCCGGCTTCATGTAATGGATCCATATAGCTGCTCCATATAATATCAGAACCACTAACCTCAAAACCCTATAATACCATTTCAAATTTAGCTCAATTCTATATCCAGAAAGAGAGATAATTTTTGTGATTAGAACTTCCAGCTTCAGCACGAGAAGTAATACTAAATAAACAAGTACAAATTACTGGAAATTATACTATATTATAATTAAAAATAAATAAATTCAAGGGGTTTAAACAGGGTTTAGAGGATAGAAAGGAAACATTACTTGTTTCAGAGCAAGCATGGCAAGAGCAGACAATCCACAACCTCCGACGCCTACGAAGTGTATCCAACCTTTGCATTTCCGGTCGGCGGGCTCGATGAATTCCTGGATTTTGGTCTGCGCGCACATTGCAGACATTGAGCCATTTCGTTTTGAGGCAAAGGCAGTTCCAATAGTGCGATTAGACTTAAACCTCGGAACCGGTTGACTGTAAAGTACCGGAGCTGCCGGCTTACGGTTTCCGCCACGATTCCCAGCTGGGAGATTCAACAGTGACCTCACCGCCGATGGTCCCATTTTCCGGCGGGGTGTGTACGTGGCGCCACGGTTTGAATGAACTCTAATTCAATTTTCATGCACTGCCTTTGGTGGCAAATTAATGTGTGGACCACGATCTATAGTGATGTGTGTTAGTGTGTATGACAAAATTACATTTTTAATATATTAAAGAGTAAATATCCAAAATGGTCCCTCAACTATAGCTAAATTCATAAATTGGTCATCGACTTTTAATTTTAACTAATTAAGTCCTTAACTTTGCATTAACACGATTTGATCCTTCGAACACTTCTACATTAACGCCGACGCCCGCGTCGTCATCGACGATCTCCAGAAGAACCCGCATCTCACACCAGAGAACATGGAAGCCTCCAGGATGACGCTGCACCGGTTCGGAAACACGTTGTCTTCTTCACTCTGGTACGAACTCAACTACATTGAATCCAAAGGGAGGATGAAGAAATGCGACAAGATTTGGTAGATTGCTTTCGGTGGTGGATTCAAATGTAACAGTGCGGTCTGAAAATGCAACCGGAACCTTAAAAAATCGACGATGGACCATGAAATTACATATATATCCTCAAAAATCACAGTCAACAAACGGTCAAATAGACGGAGGACTAAATCGTGTTAAAATTGCAAAGTTAAGGACTTAATTGGTTAAAATTGAAAATCAATGACCAATTTGTGAATTTAGCTATAATCGAGGGACCATTTTGGATATTTACTCTATATTAAAAGTACATTATTTGTGTACTGAATGTATATTATATAAAATAATATACTTTCAGTAATCAAATAATATACTTCTGAATATAATGTATATTTTTAATATATTAAAATTACATTATTTATATTTTGTATACTAAATGTACATTTTTTGATAATATGATTCACATAGCTGTATGAATCATGGTCCACGTAATAATAATTGGACTTTTGATATTTGGGCTGGGCTTATTATGGGCTCAAATTCCAAATACTGGTTAGCTTTTACACAAATAAGGCCAGTCCGTATAACATTGGATTCCCAACAAAGAAGGCCCGTGAGTTTGTAGTTGAGCTGGCATTAGGCCTTAGGCCCAAGTGCCTAAAATGGGCAAATTATGCTGTGGAACCGAATTTCAAAACTGTTCATAATTATGAATATATATATAGTTCAAAAATTATGAATATATAGTTTTACAATTATAAACATAGAGTTATGAACATAATTATGAATATATAGTTCTGTAATTATGAATATAGAGATTCAATAATTGTGAATATGAAGTTTAAAAATTATGAATATATAACTTTATAATTATGAACATATAGTTCAGTAATTATGAACATAGAGTCCTGTAATTATGAATATGAAATTCAGAAATTATGAATATATAATTTTATAATTATGAACATAGAACCGTGTCCACCTTGCAAGGTGGACATGGTTCCACAACATAACGATTGCCTAAAATCAACAATTTATATCGTGGACCAGGGTCCAATACACAAAATTTGAATTTATAATATACATAATTTATATTCATAATACACATACACATAAACACAATATAATGAAGACACATAAACACTGAACATAATACACATAATTTATAGTTATAATGTACATAATTTATGTTCATAATGCACAGAATCCATGTTTATGTATATGCGTATTATGAACATAAATTCTGTATATTATGAACATGAATTTCTGTACATTATAAAGTCAAATTATGTAACGATTGCTTAAAATATAAACAAAGTACTCTATCACTTTCAAATGAAAATTTTACTGCAATTATTATACATGTAAGGTGAATGGTTGACATAAAATTTATTTTTAGTATATTGAGGATTTATTTTTAATATATTCAATGTTCATTTTTAATGTACTGAAACTTTATTGTTAAATATATTACTTAAATAGGAAATTTTAGTATATTAAAAATGAACATTTAATATACAAAAATGAATATTTATCAATGATCCATATTGCAACTATAGTCAATAGTATAATTTGTCATCTTACTGCCATATTATTATATTTGTAGTTCGTTCAAAAGGCCAATAGGGTTATGGTTGAAGGCATAAGTCCAATCTCACTTTCAAACATATGTCTTACTGTCATTTCATTATATTTACAATTCGTTCATGATTTTTTAAACATATTCCTACAATAATTTAATCTCACTCCCAATAACAACAACAACAATAATTTAATAATACATATATAGACAATTCCAATTAAATTACTTGGAATATTAACTTGTTAACCACAAGATTTCAAATGCCACTTTTAATGAAAGCGATTTATTAGTCTTTTCACATTATAAGCAATTCTGATCTTTGCGTACAACTTTACCCAATTGGTCAAATTCAATGTATGCATGCATCACACTTTTTTAAAAAATAATAATAATAACAAAAATAGTAACAATACAAATAACAAAATTTTATGTAACGGCCATGCCGGAAGTTAGGTCTAATCCTAACAGAAACCCCGAAAATTATTGAAGCCAACAAAGTGAGTGGAAAATGAGGGAAGGCCGGTATGCAGGCAGCGCCCTCTATCTATCCCATTTTTTTGTTGCGTCAATAATATGGGCTTTTACACGCGGCAGTAGAACAGCGACGCCACGGCCAGGTTCCCAGTCGACAAGTGCACCACTCACCACTGTTGACTTTCCAATAAGATAACATTCTTTCCTTTCGTACGTGTTCACAACACCTCCTTTTGCCGGCTTAATCATCAGCTGACATTTGGATCTCGCAATCCCTTCCTTAATCCTTCGTTAGATCGAACAGATCACGAGTCTTTATGTGCTCATAAGAGATATGATCTAATTCAGATCTTTCAGTATTTTTGAGTTTTTTTCTCATACATGTCACAACGAATCAACTTCGAGAATTATTGACTGTATACTTTGCGTACAAAGAGTTTTCATATTCTCTAGGCGTTCTAGGTGCTCTAGGCGGTCCCCAGGCCTTAGAGGGTGCCTAGCGATTTTTTCAACATTGGTTACCAGTGAGATTTGAATGCTCATATTACTACTAGAACGAAAATTTAGAGTAATTGATCAAATCAATTGAGTTGGCCCTGCTACTTTTTATTTATTTATTTATTTATTTATTGGTTGAGATTGGTGTAATCCGATGGTGTTTCCCTTTTTGTTGAGTTTGACGTGGGATTAGAGGAGTGGTGCAATGGCAATGTGCCAACTAATCCATTTATCGTTATTGCAGTGTATTATGGTGGACCACTAATTATGATGTGAAGGGGTTGGTTTTAGATTTGAATGGAAGATTATGTACGTGTATATATATATATATATATATATATATATATATATATATATATATATATATATGGCATTTCCTTATTAATATATGTAACAGATTAATGCACATTACATGTTATGTTCTTATAGGCTAAGACTATATTGCTCTAAACACGTCAAATAATTAATGCATTTCATCACGACCGCATAAATATAGTAAATGCATACACGTTTATTGATATGAACATAAATTTATAAGTGAATATATGTGTGGGACATGGATGATAAACGTAAAACATAAATAGATCATACAAGTAATTTTTATATTCAAATTATAAAAGTAAAAATGACGGATGTTTATAGATTATGGCCCTGTTTGGAAAAAAAATTGGCTTATAGGTCAATTTTGACTTATTTGACCACTATTAATTGTTTGATTTAGTTAAAATATCAATATAAATGTTTGGTTAATTAGTTTTTTTCAACTCTAAAAGACTAAAATTCAAAAAGCTACTCCAAACAACTTTTTCAATTAGCTTTTTTAGAAAAGAAATTATACCAAATAGCTATCAGCTAACAGCTAATTTACCAAACACTTTTCTACAATCAGCTAATGTTATCAACTATTTATACCCACTAATTAACACAATCAGCTAACATCTAACAACTATCAGCTAACAGCCATTTTACCAAACATGGCCTAAGTTAAAGTTAAGCTCTACTATTTGAATAATGTTTGTACATCTGATGATCTACATTAGTATGAGTATATAGCTTGTGAGTTAGAGTGATTTGTGCAATATTTCGGTTATTGGTACACCTTGGATTAAGTAGAGTTTAGAGGTGAAATTGAAAGTGTATCTTGGAATCATTTGAGCTTGTTTTAAAAAAAAAAATTTTGGGTTAGGACGAAAGCTTTATCAAAATCATTATTTAAGGATGTGCATTGAGTAAAATGGAGCTTTTTAGTTATATATTTTTTTTGAAAGGTGAGCTTTTTAGTTATATATGATAGAACTGAGCGGTAATTCATTATATTATTGTAGAGCAATCAATTTTTATAGCATAATCATGATTATTTATGGTGTAATAAGATTATTTATGACTTCTTTAAGTGGCTCATTTGCTAGCCTTAAGTGGTTATAATTACTATCCAATTAAACTAGTTAACATGTAGAAAGTAGACTAATTGTCCAAAATAACCATCTAAGATGATGATAAGACAATAATGGCAAATGTCCTAAGGAGTTAATTAACTCAAATCAGCTGAGTATAAGACTGACTCAAAGCAAAATTTTAAGGTCTCAATTTATGAAGTCTGATCAATATACTAACCTTTATAAAATTATTTTTACATCCATAAAATTTGGGCTAATAATCAAACATGAGGTTACGTTGGACCTAAGCTAGTTGATTTGCTTGACCATATTGCTATTGTCTATTATATCTACACTATATAAGCTCTAATTATTGTATGAAAAGAGACATGAGTACTTGTCTTCTTACTCACATCATCACACTTGTAATAACATTCTATTAATACAAAAAGAAACTTTTTATTGTTGAAAATTTAGCTAAAATGACATGTTAAGTTGTTATTTTAAAGTAATAGTTTGAATGAAGTTGACTTTTGATTTGAGACGAATAATGACTGATTCGAGTTATCTTAAGTGGGAGGTTTATTTTGAAAAACTTTTAAATAGTATTTATCTTACATTATTTATATATATATATATATATATATATATATATGTGTGTGTGTGTGTGTGTGTGTGTGTGTGTGCGCGCGTGTGTGTGTGGATGT